ATGATTGAGTGGCATATGTACGACATAATTGAGAAGCATAGCCAGTCACAGCTGGGAGACAGATCCATTTCGGTAACAAAGATATGTCCCAAGAGCAAGAAAATAAGAAAAGTTCCCGAGGAAGTCCCAGAATCTGTTCTGACCTTTTAGTGTTCTAATCTAACCCAAAAGCTAACGTTAAATGATTATCTTAGGACCACACATATCCCAGAATTTTCACTGAATTCTCATATTTTTAATTTGTCTCTATGTCTACTAACTAAAACTAAAGAAAATATGTGGATATAAAGGAAATATGTGGATATTTCCTAACGTAACTTGTAGTAAAAAAATAGAGCTTATATGGATGAGCAGTCATGTTACCTCCTTCGTGCTAAGGGACCGTATAGCAGTAGATGGATCCTTGGCTCGAGAAATAATTTTCTGTATAATCTGTAAATCATTGAGTAGAAAATGATTTATCAATCACGTAGTAAAGTAAACTGACAAAGATAATTGCCTGAAAAAATATAGCACCATGTCCATACTTTCCGGAAGGAGTCCGAGCCCATTTGCTTCTCCAACATCTGAAGGACTGCTCCCTTCAAAAATAAGTCAGTCAAGAATTATCCTTCATAACATACGAACGCATGCAAGATCTTGTCAACTTATCCCAACAAACTCATACACGCCCACACAAATTTTAGAACAGAAATTGATAAATAAGAAAAGAAAAGATTGCTTACTGATTTCCATGATCGTATCTTTCCATGCATCCCAATAGAATGAGTTCCAAATAGGTCCTTGCAAGAAGGAGATGAGCTCAAGCACATTGCACCACTATCATCAGCTTTACATACGGCACAATTTGCCTGCATTTGCGTAAAAAAATTGAGATTCCAGATAAAATGTTAGTGGTTTTGTTCGGAAGTGGTTACAGAGGCATCCAGGGAAAAATAGCTCAGTAGTACGCTCTAAACCTTGTATCTCCGGTAACGAGCTTCATTATTTCCCAAGAACTGCTTAATAAACATATCCGTTAAGAAACCAGCAAGGCCATCAAGGAGCCAATCTGTTATCACAACATGGACAATCATCAATCACAAGATTAGATGCTTTCACAAGAAGCTAATATAACAGCAGAAAGAAAGTGTTAAAAAATGTCACAAGCCTACCATCATTTGGTGACTCAGGAGTAATATAAACTCCAAACCACTGTTTCGCTAATGCAGAAGCAAGTTTAATACGTGTATCTATTGTCTGCAAAGACAATTGAAGCTTTATCAGATTCGTGCATAAAGGAAGTAAATAAGATGACAAAACAACAAGAAACATAAGTGAAACCTTCTACACTAGAAGCCATTATTTAATGAAGGGGGGAAATGCAAGCAACAGACCAATGCAGCTTGCACATTCATAAGAGATGGTGCAGTAATATATTTAATTTGCTCAGATATGTGCTTTGTTTCAAAAATGTACCATACAAATTCGATTCTTGTGTACCTTTTATTATAATAATGGCATATAGAAACGACTATAACGTATCATCTAATCACAAACCAATTTACGAGGAACGATACCTGGTCAATAACCCTCTCGTCATAAAGCATGTGCGAGCTAAATACACTCAAGGAAGCTCCCAAACTCGAAGAGCAAACAACGATTTCAGGAGGTAAAAAGACTTGCTTGTAGAATCCAAATGGAAATTTCGCACTTAAATAATCTTCATAGTAGCTGTAGAAGTTGATTGTCCAGTAGAAAGAGAAAATACTTAATATCAGTTTGACTACAAGAAGTTGCCAGGAGACAAATTTTACTGACCTATAAGCTTCATGGAAAAATTCCATTGTATTACCAAGCCTCAAGAGATCATGCGGCAAACACAAGTTGGATATGAGAAAGTTTGTCTGATCTGGAAGGACTTCCAATGGCCCCGCAACTAAAGATACCCACCGTGGAGCAATAGGAATGGCTAGCTCGTAGACATACGTTTTTTTAGTAGTGTCTTCTTTGCACATAACCTGAAAAGTGTGAAGATTAAAAGACAATACTCCCTCCACCTTCTTGAAAAGTACTGAAAATATTGAATACGGGACATGTAAACATACTCCATAGACTTTTGGCTTTCCAGATAGTTTTGGTTACAATATAACAGAGGATAGAATCTTCTGTTTGATCTAGATTTATAAAATAACTGTACATAAACAGAGAAAATTTTGACAATATAAACAATTATGAATCTACCAGGTTTTGCAATCAAAGATAGTTCCTTCAGATTAAAAGGGTATTGGATATGGCTTATTTCCCATCGAATCTGAAACCAAATTTGGGGCACACATTTTTATGATAACGTCCATAAGTCATGGGAACCACAGCTTTCTTCTAAAGTTTCCCAATCTATGAGTAAATTCCCAGAATCTATAATATAGTAAAACTCTAATCCATTCACATATGAAAGATATACCAGCTTACCTGGTAAACTAATTTCCCAACACTGACAGCTACAAAGTTTTGTGGAACAGTGAATTCCATATTGAAACTGCATCCACCAAAAATTTGATAAATGAAAAAGGATAAACAGGTAGAGATACGCACTCTTGATCTCAAGAGATAACAGATATGACAACAGTGTTACTTCTTTAAACTGGATACCTGCAACGATGGTAGTCATCGTCTATGCAAGGAAACCAACAGCGGGCACGTCTCATTTGGTTATCGGTATGTACAATGTTCTCATCAAAATGAATTCCTGACTCTGTTTTCTCTATCCAGTAGTTAATCCGAATCAACTTAACATTCTGCATCATATGAGCATACATTGAGAGTTATAAAAAGGGAAGCTCTCACTTACCTATAGCATAACATATGAATCAGGGAATAACACAAACCCATCGATAGCTACCATTTTAATTGCATTAGTGTTTTAATTTTCACCTACCAATATGGTAAATTCTCAATTTAGCATTGATCAAGTGCGATGATGGATAGCCTGGTATGTGTTATATTCGACCCACAAAAAGCAATAATGAAGAGAATCAGAAGAATAACCTGTTTTGCATCCCCAGACGATTGTGAACCATTTTCTAGAGTCACGTTATCGAGCTGTTCAGATAAATCCTTGGAGGGCTTGCAACAGTTGATCAGTAAATTTGCTGTGTCTTCTCTCCTAAGAGCCCCGACATATTCCATGGCCGCAGCATCAGCTGCTGAAGCAGGATCTGATACCGATTTCCAGTTACTCTGACTCTCAGAGTTCTGATGGTGCGGATAATACTCAAACACAGTGGGTTCCCCATCAACCAAGACATTCTCGATTACTAAGTTCTCCGCGTGTAGTCCCACAATCCCGATATCTGGCACACTTACTTCTAACTCTGTGTAACTATAGAAAAGCCAACAAAGTCCACAAAAATTTCCATAAAATTGCAGTGAAGAATGAAAAACAAATATGAAGAGAGGAATGATATATTTATCCAAACAGTGACGATTCAATCGCAGGAATCTTCCAAAGTACCCACAAATTCCTTAGATACAGGCTTGATTTTCTCTTTAATAATGGTAAAAAAAAACTCCGAATAATCAAAAGCAGGGGTATACAAGCAGAAATCCCAAAAGATACTACCGGTGCAAAATTCAACTTCTTCCCATATTTAGGGTTCCTTCGTCCCGAATTACATTAAGCAGCCACAAATCACATTCACGCACTCGGTTATCGAATGGAGAAATAGAAAAGCAAGAGTAGGCAACGAACCCGTAGATTTGCCGTTTTTTGAAGTCAATAGAAAGGCAGAGCCTCTGGTGAAGAACTTTTGCTCCGGTGTTCTCCGAAGACTTCGCGCCAGGAGCTTCCTCGTTCTTCGGCTTTCGAGCCTTGGCCATGTTCCTTCTCCGCCGAGACGTTAGCCGGAGAGAGCAACCTTCTTTAATCTTTATTATTAAACTGTATATATAAAAGCCATCGATGCGTCGATTCCGCTAAATTACAGAAAACTCCTCTTTGTCTTTAAATCAATAAATTTTAGCATATAATTTTCTAATGTGTTAATCTTACCCTTGGCCCTGGATGTGTATTTTATGGGCTTAGTTGAAACATTTTCAAACTAGGCCTATCAATTTGGTTTTCAAGAAGATACTCTTCTATACGTTTTGTACCAAACCATACATTTGAAGAAAAAGAAAAAAGCGTGATGATTTTAAATTTTAGTGGATCTTTAGAATACTACTGACCACGAGTGGCTCGTTTAATTCAACAACGTTCTTGTGATCAATTTGTCGTGATGATTTTTCTCATAAATAAAATATCGGAGTGGTTTTTAATCTACTGGGACAAATATTCTAGTGTATATGAAAATATTTACGTTCACGCCGCAATATATGCAAAGACTACGAACGGACGGTGATCTTTATGGGGAGATGTGGCTCACCCACGACTATGTCCAACTCGTACTCAACTACATCTTAGGCTCTCCCTTATTTATATATATATATATATATATATATATATATATTTTGTCTGGCAAAGAGAAGTCGGTTGTTAATAAGATTTTTGTAATTTTTACAAACAATCTCATTATTATTATTGTTTTGACGTAAACAATCTCATTATTAATGAAATTCAAATATATAACAATATATATGTTCCAATCATTCGTGTATATGCTAAAAAGTTAATTATTAATTATCTTATTTTTAAGCTGCCATACAATCTTTGATCCACCTTAATTTTTTTTTCCTTTTGGATTAACTGCTGCATTTGTTATGCTTTTGAAGAAAAAAAAACGAAAATTCCTAAAACCAAAAAAAAAAAATTCCTATAAAATAATATTATATGATGAGAGGTTTGACTTTATTACGAACGTCAAAATTAATGAACCCTCTTCTTACTTGAACGCAAAGGAAGTTTCTTCGTTGGAAAACGCTGTCTCCAATTCACATCTCTCTCTCTCCATGTCTCTATACGTATACTTATATATGTTAACACTATTTCCTCTCTCTATCTTCACTGGTCATGTGATCGTTAATTAATCTCAATGGCCACGAGTAGAGTCCCACATGTCTTAGGATTTCTTCTTTGGATATCTGTTCTCCTCTTCATCTCTAAAGCGTTAGTAATTGGTAATTTCAGCTCGATATCCATAAACCGTTTCTCCTTTTCTTCGGTTATTAGCTTGCCGCGACCGGGAAGAAGAGCTTTAGTGGTGAGGAAGTTTGATTTCACACCGTTTATGCAAGATCTTCGCCAAAAAAATCATCATCATCATCAAGTTTCACCACCGGGAGGATCCGAAATCGACCCGAGATATGGAGTCGAGAAACGACTCGTCCCATCTGGTCCAAACCCCTTGCACCACTAATTGTCTTCTTGTATTTTCCTTTAGATTTTCTTCATTTTTTCTTTCGAATTGATAGTAAAAATTTAATTCATAAAAGCTAATATTATTTTCTTGGGGAGTATATGTCTTGAATTATTTATTGTTCTTTGACATGTGAAGTATTTTTTATTTTATTTTTCACTTTCGGTGTAAAGGATGATTTTTACTCGTCTTTTCATTGCATTTGAAATTACGTTGTAAACTTGTAAAAATAAAACATCGTAGTTTAGATCAAAACGATCATGTACACATTTGTTTTGAATTCATCATACTGAATGGGAATACAATATTTTTTCCGATTGAAAAGCAACCGACATTTATTATATAACCGCTAATTTATATCGTTCCGAAATATACAAATGTTTATATATGATGTACACATTTATTATTGATATCTATAATACTGCATGCTTTTGAATGTTGATAGACAAGTGCCTTGTCTAGAGATTGAAATGTATGATCACGTGAAGCGTTGACTTTAATCGCGCGGTTTCCCGTTTCAAGATTTATAGCACGAAAAAAGAAGATTTTGTGCAAACTTTTTTTCTTTTTAGTCCAAAGGAAGTAGACAACGACGAAATGAGCTCATGTGCTTGAGTGCTTCTCAGGCAAAACAAAACACAACAAATAAAAATAGGAGATTATTTATCATTTTATTTATTTATGACTCCAAATAAAGTTGAAGGAAGATTTAACATTTATACAGTTTAAGGTTGCAATCTGAATCCTTAGAAACAAAGAATCTTATATTGAAACTGGTCATAGAAGGGCATAAATCCAATGTAGGCCAAGGATTATCACAGCCAAGCCATTAAGGTTATACCTATGCCTAATCATTTTTTTCATCATAAATACACCTTCCAATGCATGCCTAATCTGCCATGTTCCTACAAAACTTTGTATAATCATGGTGTTTGCCTGTTTGGAATTGTTCTTCGTTTTGTAATGTACAACAAACACAAGAGAATTCAGACAAAGATGAACTATATTATAAAAAGGCTAGGGGAAAAGGCGCTAAGATCACTAACTGGTTTACATCGAACCAGTCGGTTTTATCTCCGGTTTTCTAGTTATGTGGTTTATCCATAAGCACAAACAAATGCTGCAACTCGTCACGCCAAACTAGGCAGATTAACTGGTTTTCCGGTGGCTTTCTTCTTATCGACGAGAGCTCGAGAGAGAGACGGAAAGACATCGGCCTAAACTCGCTGCGTAGCCCAAGGTCCTCCACTTTTGTTATTGTTTGGAACTTGTTGCTTTATTTCTGCAGAGGCGCACTGATAATCAATAGAATTTGCTGGAACTTGTGGATAATCGAAGCTCCACTGTCGCTTATTTATCTGCATTTGCGTATTGCTAATAGTTGATTTTCATGAATTGTGTTGGATTTCGTTCCTACCCGTTCATCTCAGCGACGATTTTTTCTGGGATTTTCAGTTTCAGTTTTGAATCAAAACCACTATCCTATCGTGTTTTAGGGCTTATGTTTGATGAGAATCTACTGAATTAGTCATGGCGAGAAAAGCTAACAATAGTCTGTTTCTCGAAGAATGGTTAAGGGTTGTGAGTGGAAGTAGTATCTCTGGTAGTTTGGTGAAGCAGAATTCTGCTCCGTCCGCGAGGTCAATTATTCAGGCATGGTCTGAGATTCGGGAATCTCTCCAAAACCAGAAGTTTGATACACGTTACCTTCAAGCTTTAAGAGCTCTTGTTAGCTCTGAGTCCACTATCCATGTCGCAGATCCACAAGCAAAGCTTCTTATTTCCATATTAGATCTACGAGATGTTTGTCTTCCTCCTGAGTCTTACACACTTGTTCTTAGGCTACTCTATGTCTGGATTAGGAAGTCATTTCGACCGTCTCAAGCCCTTGTTGGTTTAGCGGTTCAGGCCATTTTTGGCGTTCTTGATGACAGGAGTATTCTCCAACCAGCCTTAGTAGCGCAAAGTGTTCTAGTCGCTGGTGCGTTTGCGTGTGTTCCTTCTCTGTCAGGAGACTTGAAACTCTTATCCTTGGAATTGCTATGCAGGATTCTGAAAGATGAGTACTCACTGGTGGGATCTCAAGAGGAACTTGTTCCTGTAGTGCTTGCAGGAGTCGGGTATGGTTTATCTTCTTCGTCGGTTGTTCATTACGTCAGACTATTGGATTTCCTGTTTGGTATTTGGCTGAAAGACGAGGGTCCTCGTGCCTGTGTCACCCATGGTCTGATGATTCTTCATTTGATCGAGTGGGTTGTTTCAGGTTATATGAGGTCTAATTATGTCGAGAAAATGTCTCTTTTTGCAACGGAGGTACTAGAGACTTATAAGACAAAGTATACTGTTTTTGCTGTCTTCATGGCAGCAGCTGGGGTACTGAGAGCTTCCGCGGCAGGATTCAGTACTGGTGCACAGAATTTTGAGATTGTTTCTAAACTTAGAAATTCATCGGAAAAACGTGTATTATCTGTAGCTCAACTTTTAGTTTCTAATGGCGATGTTACACTTCCAGCCACTCAGAGAGAAGGTCTTCTGTTGAAGTGCTTTGCTATAGCATTGGCTCGATGTGGGTCTGTTTCTTCCTCTGCTCCTCTGCTTTTGTGCCTCGCTTCTGCATTGTTAACTCAGGTATTTCCTTTGGGTCAGATATATGAATCATTTTGCAAAGCTTTTGGCAAAGATCCTATTGGACCAAGACTCATTTGGGTCAGGGAGCATATTTCTGATGTTCTCTTCAAGGAATCAGGGGCCATAACTGGGGCTTTCTGCAATCAATATGCATCAGCAAGTGAAGAGAACAAATATAATGTGGAGAATATGATTTGGGATTTCTGTCAAAATCTCTACTTACAGCACCGTCAGATCGCTCTGTTGCTTCGTAGTATAGAAGATACGTTACTTGGAGACATAGAGAAAATTGCAGAATCATCTTTCCTAATGGTTGTCGTCTTTGCGCTAGCTGTTACGAAACAGTGGCTAAATCCAGTAGTGTCTCAAGAAAGAAAGATGGAGACATCAGTCAAGATATTAGTTTCGTTCTCCTGTGTAGAGTATTTCAGGCATATTCGCTTACCTGAATACATGGAGACAATAAGAGAGGTGATTTCATGTGTCCAGGAGAATGATGCTACCTGTGTTTCATTTGTAGAGTCCATTCCTGCCTATGATAGCTTGACGAATCCGAAAGGTTTGAGAAATCAATTGTTTTCTGCAATATCTTATCACAATTTTCGGTAGGCTAGTAAGGTTAGGCTTCTTTTTTTTCTTGGTCTGCAGACTTGTTTACCCAGAAGATAGAATATGAATGGTCAAGAGACGATGTACAGACATCTCGAATATTGTTCTATCTTCGAGTAATCCCAACTTGCATTGGACGGTTATCTGCTTCTGCCTTCAGGAGAGTCGTTGCATCAACCATGTTTTTGTATCCTAGATAAAGAAAATCGATAAGCACTTTATTCTGTGTTGTTTAACCACAAGTATGTTCTTTCCTATTCCTTAACAATCCCTTGGCTAGGTATATTGGACATCCAAACAGAAAAGTGGCGCGAGCATCTCATACTTTGATGGTAGCATTTCTCTCTTCAGCAAAGCAATCAGAGGAGGACGAAAGAAACCAACTCAAAGAACACCTTGTTTTCTATTACATGCAACGATCTTTGGAGGTAGCTACGAAACAGAATAATGGATGCAATGTAGTTTTTTTTTTCTGTTGTTTCATCACCAATTATGTATGGTTCAGGTTTATCCTGAGATCACACCCTTTGAAGGTTTAGCTTCGGGCGTTGCAGCCTTGATCCGGCATCTACCTGCAGGAAGTCCTGCTATATTTTACTCTGTTCATAGCCTTGTTGAGAAGGCTTCTACATTTAACGCAGATGCATTGCAAGGAAGAAAGTCTGATCCCGGTAATCAAATTCTTGAGTTGCTTCTGCGACTTGTCTCTTTGGTTGATATACAAGTAAGTTTCTTCTCCTGTCATCTAAATCAACTTGAGCAGCTACTAGAAGATGGCTCATATGTTGATGCTCTCTCTGTCTTTGTGTACATATTTTTTTCTTGGTTCAGGTATTGCCATATCTGATGAAGTCACTGGCGCAGCTAATTATAAAGTTACCAAAAGAAAGACAGAACATGGTGCTTGGTGAATTGTATGGTCAAGTGGCTGAGTCAGACGATGTGATTCGTAAGCCATCTTTGGTCTCTTGGCTACAGTCACTGAACTACTTATGTTCTAAAAATAAATCAGAAGGCTCAGCATCTACATCAATGATGGACACTTCGAACCAGTTGGCTGCTCGGCTCTAGTTATCTCGTAGTTTGCAAACATGTGAAATCGGATAAATGTTTGCCCTATATTTTGCTAAACTGGTGTGTTGCATGACCCATATATATCATGGAATTATGTCAATAAATCTGAGACGGTCAACGTGAATTTAATTCTAAGTTTTGAACAACGATCAATAACTAAATTCCTGAGCTAAAAACCGATTAGATTTGTTTACGGTTCAAATTGATCTGGTTGAAAAGAAGAACCGGATTGATCTTAAACCGATAAAAAAACGAACCTACGGTTTATGTTTGCGATTTGCGGTTTTGTTGTCTCCTAGGTAGAAACCCTAGCTCAAACCCATAGAGCTCAAAGTCCAGAACAGAAAGTGTGGAGGGAGGGAGGGAGAGAGAAAGAGATGGGGAGCGACAGCGAAGCAGAGAAGGTGCACCTAAAGGAGAAGAAGAAGGTAGTAGCTTTGGCTCCGATTGCTAAACCTCTTGCCGGCAAAAAGCTATGCAAACGAACCCTCAAGCTTGTTCGCACAGGTACCGATTTATAGCGCAACACTCTCTTATAAAATGTTTTTGTTCCCATGAATCCTAAATATTCCTGACAGAAGCTAATGAATGAAACAAAAACCCCTAATTCCTGAAAGTCTTGTACTTTGTGTTTGTTAACTAACAATTCCTTTGATTAGCGAACGAAAGCAGTATTTTTCAAACAGTTGATCAGTTTTGGTTTCATCTATTTAATCTTTTAGCTGCTGAAAACAAATGCGTGAAGAGAGGAGTGAAGGAAGTGGTTAAGAGCATTCGCCGTGGCCACAAAGGGTTAGTTTTCTATGCTTTGAAATTCCAGGTTTCCGTTAGTTTTGTTTGGTAATCCTTAAACCAGAGCTAGAGAGTTTCTCTCTATTACAAAGGCTTATCTGTTTTTCTTGGTTCATGTGAAAATCAATAACGAGTATTGTTTTCCTTACGCAGAGTCTGTGTCATAGCTGGTAATATATCTCCTATTGATGTCATAACTCATGTCCCGATCTTGTGCGAAGAGTCAAACATCCCTTACGTCTATGTTCCCTCAAAGGAGGTAAGTTTCTCATTTGATTTCCGCATTCATTGACTCTCAGAATTTTGAAGAGATTCTTAAACTTCTTATCATTACCATCTTCTCCCTAGGATCTCGCAACTGCTGGAGCAACCAAGCGGCCAACATGTTGCGTTCTTATCCTAACAAAGCCTGCGAAAGGAGAACTAAGCCCGAAAATTCAAGAGAAACTCAAGACAGACTATGATCAAGTTGTTGAAGATGTCAAAGAACTTGCTTCTTCTACTGTCTATTAGGATTGCATTAGGATTTAGGATATACAAATTGCTCTTTACTGTCTCATGTCTCATTGCACTCTCTATTTTTCGTCCATGTCTGCCAGAAAAAAGTATTTGAGTTTTCTCAGATGGTAATGTAAAAACGAATCAGCCTCTTATTCTTGGCTCATGTTACATTGTCGAGACTGAATTGTCAAGCGTGTATCACAAACCCTATTATTTACATCATTCCCACTATTTGTCTAGTGAAGTAACGAATTGTTACAGAAACTATTTCAGACGACTGTAGGCAAAAATGCCGAGACAGCCAATGGCCAAAGCAACAAGGACAGGTACAGTAGAGGATTCGAGGTTTTGTGTTGTGCTGTTTGTTCTGTTGCTGTCTAGTCTCTCTATGCGAGACCTTTCTCCAACATACTCCCGAAGAAGATTGCTCAGTGTGTCCATTTGATGCATTATCTGACGTTGTCCACGAGCAACGAGTATAACCTGTCCAGATGATAAAAGTATATTAAAAAAATCAACTAGAGAAATGAACTATGATTCAGATAGGTTCCACTGTCTCTATCGAACCTAGAGCTCTCTCTCTGATGCACCTATGTTCGACAGGAGCTAAACAGAACTGAAGTAATTATCAATTGATGCATCTTGATGTTATTGTCTATTGGAGTGAAGCAATCAAGAATAAAATTGAGCATGTGCTTCTGATTTTGGAGAGTTATAAACATACCTCTTCCATCAGAGGAGATTCCCTTACGAGCTGAGATGAGGATGAGGACAGCGATAAGAGGGACCCGTTTCCGTTTTCCATTGGTAAAGCCAAGTTATGTTGACTACCTGAAGCAGCTATCCTGTTCGGGATCTTGGAATTCAACTCTTCAATGCGGGATGTGAATTCATCCATCCTCTCGTTCAGTGTTGATATTTGGTCCGAGAGCTGAGTGATAACACCCTATTGAAGAACATTATATGTCCAGTCATTCAATTGTAAGCCAAAGTTACGACTTTGCAACAATAGAACCATAGATTTAAAGATCTCAGGGGCAAAAAGCAGAGAGACCACTTTACCTGATTTGGAAGAGTGGCAGGTGAAGCAGGGGCTATGGCATCTAACATTCTATTGTTAACAGCAAGTCTTGTCAAGTTAGGCAAGACTTTGTGTCTTTGGTTTGAGTAAGACTTTGATACGCCGCTGTTAACATGTGCATCATTACACAAGTCAGATGACTCCCTGACGTAACATACATTGTCTTTGTTCTTAGATTCTGTCTTTTTTTCTCAATAATAGCCAATCAAAGAGAAGGACTAGAGGATACCCGTGAAGATATTTCATTCTACTATCAGCAGAAGCTCTTGAGAGGGCTTCCTTAGGGCTAGAAACTGTATCATCATCTAAGCTAAGTTTTGTCTTCAAGTCATCTGGCAAAGCCTGAAAACATCACCAGTGTGCCCGAATATACAAAATTACCATCATGACATGATCAGCCGGATCAGTGTGTAATAAACCACAACTCATACCATAACATCATTCACAAGCCTCTCCAGCTGTATCTGTTCAATATATGTATGTGGAACATATGAACCTTCCAATCCAAGTTGATCTGCCACATTTTTGACGAAGGAACGGTCTTTACCTTGTACCTTCATATAAGAGTTGGAAAAAATAAATCATTATTAGTTTCAAAATACCACCCAAAAGCCAGTATAAGATTTTTTTATAGAGCAAGAGAAGCAGATATTACCTGGACATATGTCCGGTTCAGTTGTTCCAACCAATCAGTCTTCACAATAACCTTGTCATCATCAAAGATATGACTTTTTCTTTTTAAGATTGTTGCAATGGTGTAACCCAGAGCCATTAATCCTCCGAGAAGGCGAACACTGACTTCAAAAGTTATTCTGGGTGATATAATAAATGGACGATCTGTAACCCACTCCTGAAAGCAATATATAGAAGGGCAATCATTCATCAAATCGACCACCCATTCATTCAGCTTTCATATAAGACTACAATGTATCTGCCCATCTGTATTCAATCTGATATGGTGTTTGTACATAAGAAAAGTAGTGTGAACAAGTATTACAAAAGAAAAGTAGTGTGAACAAGTATTAACCAAACCTCAAACATGAGATTGTATTTTCCATCCCGGTTCCTCATTCGGAGGTATGATTGGCATGCTTCAGGATCCTCGCCTGGTGGTAGCAGATAGATGTCATAAGTTTCCTCTGTACGTTCCTTGAAATCTTCAGACATAGCAGCCTTCATTTGTTCTGGTGTTACAGCCTTCGTTGACTACAATAAGATAACAAAACTCACTCCAACCATGAAAAAATTGCTGCTATAATACTGCAGCTGCAGATGATATAAAAGCGCCACAATATACACGTTCGAACAATATAAATGTTGTAACCTTTAAAATATATGTTGGATTCTGAAAGCCACTGAAGGGGTTAAACTTGTTTTGGATCTTAATCTGAGCTGTCTTCAGATCAGGTTCAATAAATGCCTTGTACATAGGATAAACCTGGTCGGAGAAAAACACATAAGCGAGATTTCATTGTCCAAAAACTCAAAACAAACAGCAAGAGTCATCATTTCATGTTTTATCCATATTTGAAACGACTCCACACAGCAAGGGAGATTAACCATAACAAAAAATAAAAGATGGGAAAAGATTAGCGTAAAAACCGTCTCAGATATCTGATGAATTATTTCTTCAGGTTCCTGGCCAGCACGTTGAATGTCCCGCAAAACACGCTTGACAAGATCGAAGTGCACTCCACCAGTGACAGAGACACGAAGATCAAGCAAAGGCCGTAGCTTCTCACTCAAAGCGTATATGCCTTCAAGAATAACAATGCGAGAGCTAGGCACCTCAAGCGTTCTACACAAAAGAACGAGAGAAACGCATAAGTCAATTACAGGTGTGTAGCTCTTATCAACTAACATTTGTTCAGAAACTACTAGCCAATGTACGAAGACATATATAAATCGTTTTTTCCCCTAAAAGATGTAACGTTAAAATGAAAACCATAGTGTGTAATTACTTTGTCCATCAGGCCTAAATCAAGTGGTTCTCAGGAATTCAACTATAATGCTGTCTGTCCACACAACTTTTCAACTGTGGATTATACACCAACAGGGAAAATCAATACCTGTAACCAATTCGTGAACTTGACTTGAAGTCATATATTGGAACCTGAACAGATTTTCCCTCCTTTAGGCCATGTATATTGTCAAGAAGTGTATCATAGTCGGTCAACCGTGGGTCTGCAAGAAAAAATATTGTTCACATACCTAAGAAAAATAAATGATTGAATCAAGCCATAACAAGAAGGGTGTAACATACCATCAAAGTTTCCATCGATCACACGAGTACCATCATTGTAGTTGTCCATGTTTATGATAGCAATGCTAGGCATGAAGTTGAGGATTTTCTCTGTGAAGATTGTTTTCCCAGCTCCAGAAGGACCAGCTAACCCAACCAAAATGAGCCCATCGTTCTTCTGAGCCAATAGTTGGCAAGCTCGAATAACAGCGTAGAAACCCTTTTCAAAAGACAATGGATCCTCAATGGGAACAATCTCATATCTTCCAGAGTCCTTTCTTTTAATCAGCTGAACCTGATCCCGCAATAGCCCATGCCTCCGGCGAGGTGAGAGAGCAACAGAGCTATCGAGCACCATTGCAAGTAGCTGAGAAACAGAACCGATGCACCAAAGTTCCAATGAAGACGAGAATCTGGAATGTTCAAACTACAGGAAAAGACAAGACTTTCCCGTTATCAATTCGATTCGAGTAAGCTATAAATTCTTGATATCAATAGCTGCAGATGCATACGAACAGTTATTAAGCAAGATATAGTAATATTAGTCTAATCGGATCAAAAGCTCAGCATAAATTTCATTCAATTTAACAAAATCGATAAAGATCAATCAGACGCAGAGGAAAAGATTGACATGCGTATCAAAAATACTCAAAATGCAAGATTTTTGAGCTTCAAACTTATCACTGCAATACGACTTCAACGAACACTTTACCCATACGATCAAGACGATTAAATCAAACAAAGACTCAACGGATAACATTCCGAATCTGATCGTAAACGAAAGAATCAAAGAACAATAGAGACGACAAACTGAGAATCTCTATAAATAAACGTTTCAGTCTTCACCTACCGGAAGAAGAGTCAAATCCGGAAAAATACTTCGCGCGCGATGACGCAAAAAGCTCCGGCACCCGAAAGAGATGAGAAGAATATAGTTGAAGATATTTTTCGTAGCAGTCAATGAGAGTAAGAAAGATGATGGAACGAGGAAGACGGCAGTTATACTAGCTATGACGAGAAATCACTAGAGAGATCTCAGATAGTAAACCACTCATACCAATTCATTTGAATTTCGAATTGTTTCCGGTTATTAACATGTTAGAACCAGAAATTGAATGAAATAATTTCGGTTTCCACTTCGGTTCGTATTCCTCAGATTCAAATGAATCGAACTTAACCGGAAATGGATTAGCGAATCATGCGAGCCGTCAATCCACGTAACGACTTTGACCGTCACACGTCACTCACGGTGAAGCAGCGACGACGTGGAAGAAAGTATACCTTCACAATCCTCTTTCTTCTCCTTTTCTCCTTTTTCTTCCACTGGAACGAAATTTCGCAGCAGAAGAGGCACAGAAACAATGGCGAAGCTGCTACTCCTTCACGCGCCTCATGTAGTACCTAGATTTAGCAGCTGTTGGTCACTTGTCTCAGCATCGGCTTTATACAGAAGACCTCTTCTCGTGAATTCCCAATTCTCCTCCTCGGATTCGTATCCATCCCATATCGGACCTCGTCTTCGTTCTCCGTACAGTCGGAGATTCTCTGCTCGTGCCTTCGACGATTCATCTGCTTCCTCGGCGGAGATGGAGAAAGAGCAGCAGGAACAGCGGCCGGACGGAGTTTCTCGGGAAAGAGATGAGGACTATCCTACCGGAGAAATGGTTTATGAGGATAGGAACGCGTGGGAGAGTTTTGTTGTGAAGTTGCGGATGCTAGTTGCTTATCCTTGCCAGCGTGTTCGCAAGGGAAGCGTCTTGACCATGACATTGCGTGGCCAGGTTTCGTCATTTGTTTCCTCGTCTCTTCTCATTTGTGTCCTTCTTAGATGCTGGTATTTGTAGTAGGACTGTTGTTTTCTGATTCTGGGTTGCGATTTCCAGTGAAAAGTTTGTTGTTATATTCCTCTGTATCTTAGAGTGAGGTTTGAGGTTCTTTCGATCTTTGTTTTTTTTATTTCCAGATCTCTGATCAGTTAAAGAGCCGTTTCTCTTCAGGGCTTTCCCTGCCCCAGATCTCTGAAAATTTGGTGAAAGCTGCATATGATCCTCGTATCGCTGGAGTCTACCTTCACATTGAGCCTTTGAGTTGTGGGTGGGGAAAAGTTGAAGAAATTCGAAGGCATATATTGGATTTTAAGAAATCAGGTAGCTCCTGACTCTATAACTGTTTTTTCAAGATTTTCTTTAGTTGGAAGTTCATTCTCTCTTTAGCTCTCACATGCTTTGTATTAGCTAATTAAAACACATGCTTTCTCAGGTAAATTTATTGTTGGGTATATCAACATATGTGGACTAAAGGAATATTATCTTGGTTGTGCATGCAATGAGCTCTATGCTCCGCCTAGTGCCTATTCCTTTCTGTATGGTTTGACTGTTCAAGCATCTTTTCTTGGAGGTAAGCATTGGTTCTTCTTTGGCTCATTTTATCACATAAGAAGTAGTAACTAGAAGTATGTCTTATGTTCTATATCAATATCATACACAATCGTAACTAGTTATTTTTCAAATTGTAGGTGTCTTCGAGAAAGTGGGGATTGAACCTCAAGTTCAAAGAATTGGAAAATACAAAAGTGCCGGAGATCAGCTTTCTCGCAAAAATATATCCGAGGAGAATTATGAGATGCTGAGCGTGCTACTTGATAACATTTATGCAAATTGGTTGGATGGTGTTTCTGATTCAACAGGTACGAGACTTGTTCACAATGTTGTTATGGCTTTAAAAATTCAGTTCTCTCATGAGTGGCTTCTGCTTAGAAATATGCAGGAAAACAGCGAGAAGATGTTGAGAGTTTCATCAATCAAGGAGTTTACGAAATTGAAAAGCTAAAGGAAGAAGGGCTGATAAAGGATATTCGGTATGATGATGAGGTAATTCCATTTCTATTCTCTTATTGTAGATGGGATTCATTACCTTCTACGTAATCCCAAAAGCCCGAAGTGATGATCCTTGCTATTTCATCCTTTATCATGAACTTTTCCTTTTGGATCTTTTTGGTATCCTCTCAAAATATTGGGATGGATTATTTACAATAGTTATAAAGACTCCCTACTAAACCTTTTCATAAGAGAATTAAATACTGCTCCCGTACTGTTTCTGATATATATCATTCAATTTGAATGTTCCTGCAGGTCATATCGATGCTAAAAGAGAGGCTTGGAGTCGAAAAAGACAAAAAGCTTCCTACTGTTGATTACAAGTAAATAACTCTTACTATATGGATCTGTCAAATTGAGGCTTACTGAATCTAGAGCTATTATCTTTGCATGTCCAATTGGCTCAACCCTTGTGCTACTAGGTAATATATACATAATGGGTCCTGGCCCCTAGGCTGTTCCTACATTATTGGTTAATCTGTATTAGAGTCAGTGTATTGAGCAAATGAATATCCTGTGGCAGTACCGAACAGAGATCGTAACTCAACAAAGTGTAGATCATATATTTCTTCTCTTTTGGTTCTCATTGTAGGGGAAATAAATGTTTTTACGAACTTTTTTGTACTGGTGTTATGCATACTCAATTGACTTCAGATTTTCTGTTGCGTATTTTACTTATTTGGATTTTCTTCTACGGTTTCCTTCTAGCCTCACGCACTTTTTAAAATTTTACGGGCTAGTAACATGCAGATATTCTGGATTGATATACTTTATGCAGGAAATACTCAGGTGTTAAGAAGTGGACTCTTGGTCTAAGCGGCGGTCGAGATCAAATAGCTATAATTAGAGCAGGGGGAAGCATTTCTCGGGTTAAGGGTCCGCTAAGCACTCCTGGTTCAGCTATCATTGCAGAACAACTGATTGAGAAGATCCGCAGTGTAAGAGGTAAATCTGTTTTTTTTTTTGCTTAATGTTTTCTTCTACAAATATACTTTTGTCTTCTTCAACAGCAGCTCAAAACTTTCTGTTTCCTATTTTCTTTTGAAGAGTCCAAAAAATATAAGGCTGCCATCATCCGAATTGACAGTCCAGGAGGCGATGCACTCGCTTCTGATTTGTAAGTAGATTTGATTAATCTTTAATGCTGTGAAATTGTACCTTTGATACTCTCGTATGATTTAACATGTCATGTATGATCATTTGTCATCTATGTAAGTTTAGGGTTGAAGCCCTATCCTAATTAATTCAGTAGAATGGATTAAGAATGCTATGGAATATCTTCGAGGTTTTATCATAATTCTACGTAGTGGTACACAGAATGTGGAGGGAGATCAAACTACTGGCTGAATCAAAACCCGTCATCGCATCAATGTCAGATGTGGCAGCAAGCGGAGGCTATTACATGGCAATGGCTGCAAACACCATTGTTGCTGAAAATTTGACACTAACCGGCTCGATTGGAGTTGTCACAGGTGATCTTTCTTTGTCTACTTGCCAAATAGAAAGTTATGTGCTCTGCATCTTTGTACAACTATCTCTTTCACCCTCGCCGTACTTAATTGCTATTGTGTGTTCTTGTTCTTGCAGCAAGATTTACCTTAGCCAAACTATATGAAAAGATTGGCTTCAACAAGGAAACTATATCTAGAGGAAAATATGCTGAGCTTCTGGGGGCTGAGGAGAGACCTTTTAAGTAAGTGGTCTCACTCCGTTTATCACAACGAGTATTACCTTGTTAGGTTTTAACCGTCTAAGACTTCTTTTGGCATCCAATTGATGCCAAGTTGATTTTTGCTGTTGTCAAATTCGATCCTCGAGACTGCTACTTAAGAACTTGTAAGCTCCTTTGATTCACAGTTTTATTTAAACAAAAAAAAAAACAATTGTGTTTTCAGGCCAGAGGAAGCAGAACTGTTCGGGAAGTCTGCACAGCATGCATATCAGCTTTTCCGGGATAAAGCAGCCTTATCAAGATCAATGCCGGTATATGTTCCAAACTAGTATTTCTCTCTTGTTTTGCTATTTTCAATGCATTTTAGACTAAATTGCTCTCTCATGCTCTTAGGTTGACAAGATGGAAGAAGTAGCACAAGGAAGAGTGTGGACCGGTAAGGATGCACATTCTCGTGGTCTAGTCGATGCTCTTGGCGGGCTTTCCCGAGCTATAGCCATCGCTAAGAAGAAAGCTAATATTCCTCTTCACAAGAAGGTTCGCCTCTATAAATTCCCATTTGCTTCAGTGACCTCATCTTTGTAACAAATCATTAAATCTCAAGACAGCTTAAAGTAGCTTACAAACCATTTTGGTTTTTCTTGTGCTAAATTCAGGTTACTCTTGTCGAGATTTCGAGACCTTCTACATCATTACCAGATATCTTAAGCGGCATAGGAAGCTCGGTGATTGGAGTGGATAGAACATTGAAAGGATTACTCGATGAATTAACAGTCACCGAGGGAGTTCAAGCTCGAATGGACGGAATCATGTTTCAGCAACTTGGCCGAGATTCCTTAGCAACTCCTATTATCGATCTTCTTAGAGATTATCTCAGCTCTCTACGATGATTTCAAACTTCCCTGGAGAGCCAAGAGTTTAATTGAATCTCATTTGATCTGTAACAAAAGAAACATTTTTAAAGCCAGACTAAATAAAACTTCATAAATGAAATTAAACTGATACCAAGTTAAAACCGAGGAAACATGAAGTTAATGTGAAACAAGTTACACAAGTCGTTTGAAACAAACTGAAGTTCGATTATATTAGGGGCCTATTTTCAAAAGCTGAAATTACGAAATTATAACCGGACACAAACTAGCGCTACGACCTCTAATCTCCTATAGTATAAAAAGTAGTAACTAAGACGCACACTCTGCCAAAACTCAAATCTATAAGAGGAAACACAACCTAAAGAAACACTGAAAGGTTGAAAAACTCACTAAAGCTTAAATAATGTTTGCCTCTACATACAAGATTAATTTGAATAACAAGTTTTTTTAACACTCACATGAGATCTATTCAAGACTAGAGTATAGCTTCTCTCAAGAGCTGCAAAATAGTTTCAAGAGTATTTCAATAGAGATTGTCAAATAGCTGAAAAATATAACAAAGCAGTAACCTTTATTATTTTAGATGTTGTTTAGTATTGGAAGTAGGATTTAAAATCATCATCTGTATTGAAATGCTTGGAAACAATTTTGTAGACTTCGACCACCAAATGTGGGAACTTTAGCTACGTACTCAAGAATTATTTCTTAACAATTCCTCATAACTGTCTGACACATTCAAGAATTTCAAAATAATTAGGCTCGGTATATGTGTTTGTAATGCGTTATGATTTATAGAAACTAACCTTCATATTTCCCTAGAACTTATGGCAGTGTGCAAAGTTGTTCCTCACCAGTCGGACTAAGTAGATAAAAATGATCTATTTTCTGATGTGCCCTATGAAAATGGCATCTAGACTAAGCCAAACATTACCATTTTCCGTTAGTTTATAACACATTTTTAGTTAATTTTTGTTGTTAGATCATTTTGCACAAAAGTCTTAATTACGTTTTTATAGTAATAATATTGGTAAAGCTTTTTAACAATATTTATGGATATTTTATTGATAAACCATTATAAAAGAACTCAATTATGTGAATTTGATGAATGGTTTTGCAAGTAAAAATGCTCAAAAAAATCATTTTTTTAACAATAATTTTTTGGTTTTATTGTTTTATTGTTTTTTTACAAATGGTTTATGGTGTTGGGTTGTTTTATAAAATGTTTAAACTGGTTTTTTTATATTACTAGTATTTGTGATTTTAAATTAAATAATATATGAAAAGACATGATTTTAAAATTTAACCATCTAAAACATTGGACAACTGGACCAGCACTGACCGAATCTCATTTTGATCTGTAATTAAAGAAACATCTTTAACCAAACTTAATAAAAGTTCATAAATGAAACTAAACTGATATCAAGGTAAAACCGGTGAAACATGAAGTTAATGTGAAACAAGTTTCAGGTCTTGCCAATTACAGTTTCAGCTAATCTCTATATATATACACATGCACTTTTCTCTCTTATAACACCAAGATAAACTAGAAGCAATAATGAAGACCTCGATGAAGACCATCTCCTTCTTAGTAGTCGTTCTCTCCATTTCTGCAATCTCCTTAGCCGAGAAGAGTCCTGTGGAAATTTGCATAAGAAGAAACATCGCCCAATCCCTTTCTCCTTCTCCTTCAAACAAACCCACAATAACGTATTCTCAGTTCGACCTGGTAGACGAATTATGCAGAGACGAGACGCGAATCATAATGTACTTTTTGAAACTGAACGGAAAGTTCCCAACTTACTACGTCAAGGCATTGTGCAATGTATTCGGACACGACGAAAATCTTGTTAGGGAATACGTCACTGAGAAATGGTTGAATCATTCGAAGAAGCTCATGGATAGCTTAACTTGCATAACAAGAAACATCTTGATAATCAAGAAAAGCCCTGTGGAAGCTTGCATAAGAAGAAACATCGCTCAATCGCTTTCTCCTTCTCCTTCAAACAAACCCAAAACATCTCCTTTCGACATGGAAGATGAACTATGCAGAGACGAGACACGAATCATCATGTACTTCTTGAAACTGAACGGAAAGTTCCCACCTTACTACGTCAAGGCATTGTGCAATATTTTTGGAGACGACGAAATGAAAGTGAAAGAATACGTTACTACGAAATGGTTAAATCATTCGAAGAATCTCATCAATAGCTTAACTTGTGCTTCTCGATAAAAAGATCTGTAATTTTTTGAAGGGGTTAACAGAATCAAAGTCTTTATAATAAAATTTTGCTTTTCTTCATTACAAATTTCCAACAAAATTGGTCGTGAGTGTTCCCATGTAAACAATGTTTTTATATTCATTCACTTCACTGACTAGTGTATCTCCGTAATATTCTCCGAGCGATATACGCCGGAGAATCTCACCGTCGGAACTGATTTTCACAGCTGTCGGCTCTGTGGGGACCACTATAAGCTTCACAGAGTTCGAGGCGACCCAGAAATCTCCACCGTCTGTTCGCCTTATGTTGTCCGGACCCGGGATCGAAGGAACGAGAATCTCCCACGTGTTGGCTTTTGGACCCTTGATCCAATATTTCAAAATCCGATTCCTCAAGAACTCTCCCACCAGAACAAACTCTCCGTCGGAGCTCACGGCGCATCCGGCGGAACCACTCAAACCGCTTAACAAAACGGTAACGGTTTTCATCTTTGGATCGTACCTAAAGAGCCTCCCGGTCGCATCTTTAACAGCAACCGCCAAGACAAGTTGACTGAAAAGTGAAAACCAAAAAAAAAAATTATGGTACAAAACCGGTAGACATATTAACCAGTACAAAACCAAATCACGACAACTTTCCATTAACCTGGGGCCAAATCTCGTGCTAAAAGATGTGAAGTAAACCAAACCAGTGACCGGATCTACATCCAAACCGTCAAGGAACCGAAAAGGAAAACCGCCTGCGCTATCGGCTAGGCGCTTGGCTTGGCCACCACGGTGTGAAACCATGTACAAACCTAAGAATGCATCGGCTATGTACAAATCTCCGGTTTTCTCGTTGAAAGCTAAACCGACCGGTCTACCACAGATGTTACCAAGAAAAGACCCAATCGCTTTGTCACATAGTGATTTGTTCCTGTGAATTAGACACAAACTATTACAAAAACATGTGTATGTATAACAATGTATGCGTATGAATATTGAATTAGTAGAACATACGCAGTTGGTGAAATGTAAGCGAACTCTGCAAAGCCAAGTTTTGGCCCTTGGTATTTTAGTATCTTGCCGCCGGAGACTCCTGTATAAGGTCCTCCACCATGGGAATCGAAAGCGAAAGCTTCGGGTCCGGAGATTTGCGGTGGCAACGGAATCTTCTGGAAGGTTTGAAGGGAGGAGACAAGGGAATGAGATGAGAAGAGAATCAGCAAAAAGCAGAGGATGAAGACTCTCAGTGTTTGCGACATTCTGATTCATCAATGCATCACATGAAACAGAACATATCGTTTTTATAAACACGCACAAGGTTTGTCTTCGGTTTGATTGGATATCAACCGGTTGGTCAATGGTTCTTAACCGGTTCTTGATTAGTTAGATGCTCTTTTTTGACATAAGTCACAAGACTTTTGTCTTTTCTTTACAATATTTACTAATTAAATTTAGCAATATATTTTGTTAAGAAAAAATTTCGTCTTTTTGAGTTTTTTTCTGTCTCTTTCTCACGTGAACCCGACCAACTTTCCAGCTAATCCGAATATAAACTAATGAAACTATTTCGATTACTGTTCACGTACTATAATTCGTAAACAACCATCTTCAAACAATGATAAACTGATAAATCATTTTATCTATAATAGAACCAACATTAACCGGATGATATCTATCTGATCAACGGTTTATTCATAAACAATCACTTTTATTTCTACAACACAAACTATGAAATAAAATAGTTACTTTTTGAGCTTAAGAATCCCGGCGAAAGGTCCAAAGAGTGTTCCGACGTAAAGCTGTCCTTTGAATTCGTTAACCTCACTGACCAAAGTATCCCCAAACTTATCCTTCACAGAAATTGTATGGAGGACTTTACCGTCAGAATTGACTTTAACCGCCGACGGGTTTGTTGGTCCAGTGGCCGTGTTCACGACCGAAGCAACCCAAAAGTTTCCGGAAGAACCGATTCTCTTGATGTTGTCAGGGTTCGAGACCGAATTGGTGAAGTCTTCAGAAGAACCAGCTTTAGGTCCTTTGATCCAATACCTCTTGATGTTACTTTTTGTGAACTGACTAACCAACACGAAGGAGCCGTCTGAGCTAACTGCGCATCCAGCTGAGCCACTTAGGCCTTCCATCAATACAGTCACGACTTTCTTTGATGGATCGTATTTGAAGAGTTTTCCAGTAGCGTCTTTTGATGCAACTGCTTTCAACACATCCCTGTATGCACGCATAACAAGTTATACAAGTCCAAGAGGTATCAAATCTTTATTAAAAAAAACTGATATCAAATCTTTTCTTAGTACAAGATCGTTACTCCAAGCAAAATCTACATAATACCACCATTAGACTCTACTTAATAAGCTAAACTATTATAAATGAAACTGTTATATAGTTTATAGTATAAGCTAAACGACAATTAATGAAAGAAAAAACGAGATTTGGTATTATTAAAGAAAAACAAAATTTGAAAAGAAATTACGATGACTTTTTTTGTATGAAGATAGTATATATTTGTTTTGTTTTATGTGATAATTTTAAACTTATTTAATATGAAAAGAGAAATAAAAGTTAACCCAGGGCTAAATTTTGAGCTGAAGGAAGTGAAATAGACGACGCCGGTGGTGGGATCAACGTCTAGACCATCGAGAAACAAGAAGGGCTTGCCGTCAATATTATCGGCGATCTTCTTGGCCAAACCGCCGCCGCGAGAAATGACGTGGAGACCCAACGGAGCATCGGCGACGTAGAGCTCTCCTGTTTTGTCGTTGAAAGCTATTCCCGCCGGCCGGCCGCATTTTCCGATGTTAGCGGTTCCAAGTGCTCCGTCGCACGATTGTGACTTCCTGAAATCAATTATGTACTATAGAACTTTTCTATATATAAAAAACAATATAGAATATATAAAATAAATAAATACTTTAGTCTCCGACCTATTGTCTATTGATTACTTTGTTGAAATAAGATCAGAAATTTTAGCAAAAAAAAATATCCGGAACTAATTGGGTAACGAAAAAGGTTGAAATATGTTTCTGTCAAAAAAATTATGGTTTCTATTTTCCATATTTAAAATTGATTGCAAATATTCCATATTTGACTATTTCACAACGTCGAGGTATGTGTTTATATCGTATTTTGTACGTAAATAATTTTTTCAAGGATTTACTAATACCAAAATATTCGTATAATTTGGCAAGAATTCTGATGTCATTTGCATCTGGATTGTTCTGTTCATGTTATCTATGTTTCCAACAAAAGTTATGAATCTTGTAATCTTGGCGATAAAACAAAACCAAACTTACGAGGATTCCGTGATATAGCCAAAATCGACGTAACCTTTCTGCGGTAGGTATTTAAGGATTTTACCTCCGGAGACTCCGGTGTAGAAACCTTTTCCGGTGGAATCAAAAGCAAAAGCTTCAGGGCCTGACCTCTTTCCCGGCACCGGAATTTTCTGGAAAGGTGTAGCGTTTGAGAAAACCGCAGAAGAAAGAGAGAGAATAAGAAGAAGAGAAATTACGGAGAGAAAGGATGTCATAACTTTTCTTGGTTGAGTTTTTATTAACTATCAGATGAGGTTTGTAATAATCTGTATATTTATAGATTTGATTTTTCTTACTTTTCAAAATTTCCTTCTATTACGATCTCTTCTTTTGTATTCATTCAAGTATTCATAGAGTTTCTATTTGTATAGGGAAGCAAATCAGACTAAACTCAATAATAAATTGAATATAAGGAACAGGATACGACTATATTATTATTATGTTAATTTCTAAAAAATTATTAGAAGAATATTGATGTAAGATATGGGGTATCTTAGAAGCAATTGATTAAAAATGAATATATACGGTAGTTGATGGATAATATACCATTTTCTTACGCATTTTCAGTTTTGAACGTGATTTCACTATTTTTAATTAACATTCATCAAATTTTCACCTTTTCAAAAGTATTCTGCTATTTTGGGCGTGTAAGAATATAAATAAAACGAAAACGTTATTAAACTATTAAAATTATTTAGCGTTTTATGATTATGCAAAACTATATAATTTGGCTGTGATCATTCGACTATTCTAATATTACACTTTTTCTGATTTTCTTGTCAACCTTGTAATGTGGCATGTTATATAGTGTTCTATTTTTTCGGATAATTCGTGTTCAGATCTAATCTTGACATTTTTTTTTGAAAACAAAAGTCAACGAATTGCAATCCACAATCAATAACAGCTAAACAAAATAATATGTATCAGACTAAAACTAGCCATTAGCTGGTCAAATAATTGCAATCCACATTAACAGCTAACTAAAACTAGCCATTAGCTGGTCAAATAATTGCAATCCACATTAACAGCTAAACACATTAAAATGAGTCACGAACGTTCGGCGGTAAAAATTGAGTCTAGTGGAAAAGTGTCTAAAACCACGTCATTTTGCTAAATACCATAATATTGACATGCATAGATATTAAGGAATCCACTGATACAACGCATGTGATGGTTTAAAATATACATCTGCTCACAAAAGTATATGTATTTAGTAAGAAGTAACCAAAAACAGTATAAACGAAAACGCAAATTCGTCGTATGCTAGTAAAGAAACGTTCAAAATTTATGCAATTAAACTTAAAACATATGACGTCAAATATTAAAAAAAAATATTATTCGAAACGTATTCCACCTCAAGTATAACCAGGAAATAAGAAGGAACGAAATATATAAGAATGTGTATTTAAATATACAAGATCTTGCTTTCATTTCTGCTGAAACTGTTTGTTTTGAGCTCGGTTTAGGGCAGTTTTTGGTAAGAGTTGCAATTTTTGAAGCTCCCGCGTCTAAGCCCTTTAGTTTTTCTCTCTTTTGAGGCTTTATTTTCTCTCTTTTGAGCTATTTATAATCTATGTTTCCCGAGATATTATCTCAAAAATGTATTCTTACTTGTTTAAAATATATAATTTCAGATGACAAAAAAAAAATTATTGAGAAGGAACGAGAACTGAGTTGATATTATAACTTTTCTATTATAATTTAAACTACATGAATACTTGTGTATACATGCGGGTCTTTTTTGTAATGTATTTTTTTTAATCTCACAACAAATTGGTGACCTTAATACTGTGTAAAAATCTATTGTTTCTGTTATACATATTTAAAAATAGAAAGATTTTTTTTAAATATTAAATTGTTCTAAAAATTTATAGTTTAACACGAATGCACTGATATATTTTAAACTATATCACGTTATGTTCATTTTTCTCAACTCCTATAAAAACTTCTTAGCTCTCTCTTTTAGCTCTCTCTTAACCACAGTGATATAGTTGTTATTTGTTTCACATTGTTAAAAATTATCGTTGCATTATTAAAATATTACTCTAAATCTACTTTGAAAACTCTTTTTGTATTTTGGATTTGTAATTTTCTTAAAAAACCTAATTATACGATAACATTTGCCAATGAAATCACCAAAACACAATCCTAATCCAATCCTTCTAAACACTACACACACACACTCAAATAGACTCTTTAAACGACAACATTTTACTACTCATTTCTTCATCTTTTGTTCCACTTAGTTCCTACATGATTGGTGCCAAACTTTCAACAATCTTTCTTTTTTTGAACATGGTAAAATATATTTACCTCTGTTTAGTAGGTTATAAGCATTTCTATGGAATGTATTAAAATGATTAGTAGATTTTTTATTTTAACCATTAATTAGCTAAACAAACTGTCATACATATTCACAAACATTTACATAAACTTTATATTATAAGCAAATAAATAAATTTTTGGTAAATTATAATTAAAGAACTCTTAAGCTATACAATAACACTGCTACTTATTGACCCAGCTAATATATTCTACACATAATCACAATTAGACTCATAGAATATAGACCCCCATTGGCGGTCTCCTTGCAAAGGAACATCGTATAGAGGCTGCTTAGCCTTCGCATGGATATTTTGATGTCTACTGAAATAAAGAAATCAAAAGCTTTTATAGGTCATCACTGATTCTCTGTTGAGTTAGTAATTGATATCGTATCTAATAGTCATTCTGATTTACTTTGATTCCTTTTTTACTTACTTCCACAAACAGATATACCTTTCTCAATTCTTCTCTTTTGCGGTGGTGATGGTCCATTCTTTCTCTGCAACGTCATCTATTCTGATTTCCCAACACTTGTTCTCCTTCCTCGTGTTTATGTGCTCTCTCTGTTTCTTTTTTTTTTCTTTGTCATTAATCTCCTCCTCTCTCTCCCTCTCCTACTCACGGTTTGTCCTCTCTTCTCTTTTTTTCCTCCTTTCACGACTCTTTCTCCTTTTTTTTTTCTTATTTCTCCTTTTCTCTCTCTCGACCTCTTATGACTGCTTTTTTTTTTTTTAGTTCAGTAATCTAACTAAAATAACTTGTATATAAGGAGATATACATTAGTTAATTTAAGGAAGATGAATCACACTTTTTAGGAGAATTATCTTAATAAATGTATGTTTATCACTGAATTCAATGATTTAAGTAATAAATTGATGCTTATTTACGAAAATATTAATTTTAAAAATTATTAAATAATAAAAATCTAATAATTGTTTAGAAGATGATGCGTCAAAAGAATGAGTGCTTAGGTGTCAAATTTATGAGACTCAACTCACTCTTTATATAATAGATAATAGTAGAGAGACATTTCAACGTGACCACAAAATTGGTAGTAAAACCATGAGTTTAAAACCAATTTAAAGTTTCATAACTCCGGCAAAAGGTCCAGTAAGAGTTCCAATATAAAGTTTGCCGTCGAACTCGTTGGCTTCGCTGAGCAACGTATTCCCAAACTCATTCTTGAGGAAAATGGTCTGAAGCACTTTGCCATTAGAATCAATCTTGACCGCTGATGGGTCCGTTGGCATGACGACCTTGTTCTTGACCGAAGCAACCCAAAAGTTTCCAGTAGAACCAATCCTCCTGATGTTGTCGGGATTCGAGACATAATTTGAGAAGTTGTCATCAATAGTTCCAGCTTTGGGTCCTGTGATCCAATACCTCTTGATGTTACTCTTTATGAACTCGCTAACCAGCACGAACGAACCATCTGAGCTCACAGCACAACCAGCCGCACCACTTAGACTTTCCATTAATACTGTCACGGCTTTGGTCGCTGGGTCATATTTGAAGAGCTTTCCACTCGCGTCTTTTAATCCTACTGCGATAAACACTTCGCTGCATTGCGTTACCATCAAGGATCAGTACATGTATAGGAGTATGTTACATTAATTCAATCACAAAAATAGCACAAAAAATAGTTTTTGTTCCAAACTTAGCACACAAAATTAAATTACAAGTTTATTCAAATATTCCTATAGATTTATATTGTTAACCAATTTAATTCTCCTTAAAAAAATCCCGCTTTATGAGAATTTTGACGTTAAACTATGTAAAAAAAATTATCTTGACAAAAAAAGTTTTTAAACAGTATAAAACACAAAAAAATAAAATAATATGGTCAAATGCTAAACATAAAAATAGAAGATAAGAACTTGTAGCCTAACATATAAGAGTGCTTATTTGAGTTAAAAAAAAAACGATATATATAAAGAAGATTGAATATACTTTACCTGGGGCTGAACTTAGAACTGAATGAAGTGAAGTAGACAACGCCAGTGTTGGGATCAACGTCGAGACCGTCGAGAAACTTGAAGGGCTTTCCGTCGACACTGTCGGCGATCTTTGTGGCCAAACCTCCGGCAGGAGAGATAACGTGAAGACCCAACGGAGCATCAGCGACGTAAAGGTCACCTGTTTTCGGATTGAAGGCTATCCCCGCAGGTCGTCCACATTTCCCGGCCAATGCGGTTCCAACTACTCCTTTGCACCATGACGAATTCCTATTGTAATCAAAAACCAATCATAATACTCATTAACCACAAAAGGTTTTAAAACTTAAAATGTTAAAATAGAAACCTCCAAATTTCGGATTCTTGAAACTCTCTAATTATATATTGTTTTAGAACTATCAGATTGATGTTATAACTGGTAATGTCATAGTATTTCTTGCAGCCATAAACATATATCCTTTTAAAAGGAGCACAGCAATTCAAAAAGCAATGATCACAAGGAAATGAATTAATATTACAGTTGATGTTTAATTATATTAAACTCCAGTTGTCTTGAAACAAGAAGCATCATTACCAAAAGATGTGATCTTGGAAATCATAATTAAGAAACTGATTAAATTCCTTCTTTTTTTTTCTTTTGAAACAAGAAGCATAATGATCAAAAGATGTGATATTGGAAACCCTAATTAAGAATCTGATTTTAAAAGGAGAAACTTACGAAGTCTTGGTGATTCCGGCAAAGTCGACAAAACCCTTCTCGGGAGTATACTTGAGGATTTTACCACCGGAGACTCCGGTGTAAAAACCATTTCCGGTGGAATCAAAGGCAAAAGATTCAGGGCCTGATCTCTTTCCCGGCACCGGAAGTTTCTGAAAAGACGCGTCATCGGAGAAAACAGCCGACGAAAGAGAGAGAAGAAGAAGAGCAATCACGAAGATAGACGACGTCATACCGCGTGTATTCTTAGTTGTGTGTTTTTTTTTAAAAAAAATCAACGATCAATAGAATCTATGGTTGGTACAAGAAATCTGTTTATTTATAGATTTGATTTGAGAATAAGTAAGAAGAGACTTTTCTTCTTTTTTTTTGTCTCGTTGTTGACCAACAAAATGGAAAATATATCTTGTTTCCTTTTATAGATGGAGAGAAATATTCTTTCTCTAGGGGGGGTGAAGGGGGGGAGGAGGGGGGGATTTGGCAGATTTTGTGGAGGATAAAAGTCAAATCAATCCACATTAAATGCTGAATATTGAAGTATATATATAGAGTAACAAATCAGACTAAAATAAGCAAATCGTCTTAATCACAAGAATCAAATACGCCCATACAATGTTTTATCATGCAATGTTTTCAAAGCAAGTCTGGAAGCCAAACCGGATAAATGTTTAGATCACGGTTCAATGTAGTTTGACCGGACAGAACAAATTATTTTATTTTATTTTATTTTATTTTATTTTATTTTATTTTATTTTAAATACATGTAGAAAAAACAAACACACACATATGCTGAAGTATACAAAATATATACCAACACAACGGGAAGCTCATTTGGGAAAATTAAAGTAAACATAAATTATATTAATAGATAATGTTTTATATATAATTTGAATTGGTTTGCATGTGTTCATAGGTTAAATCATATATACTTTTATTATACTTTTTTGGTCTAACATGCATAAGTTAACTAGCTTGAGCAGAGTTTACAAAACTGAATTAACACGAGCGGGATCTACAACAAGATGCTAAATAGTCTGTTTTTATGTTTTTGCATTCAAAACAGTTGTTCTTTTTTTGTTCTTTTAAGATTTAGAAAATATTATTTGATCAAAGAATTAATCATACTGCTTTTTAATAAACATCAGACCATTATACGGTTGTGACCTTGCAACATTCAGTAATAAATATAATCTGTAAAGACAGGCTGCCTTCAAATCGGAGTGACAAACTAAGAAGTAACAACCACACTTTTATACCAAACTTAAAGCTTAAGGATTCCAGCAAAAGGGCCAGTGAGAGTCCCAATATAAAGACTACCGTCGAACTCGTTAACTTCGCTAAGCAAAGTGTCCCCAAACTGATCTTTTAGAGGAATTGTCTGAAGCACTTCACCGTCAGAGTTGACTTTGACCGCTGATGGGTTCGTAGGCACGACGATCTTGTTCACGACGGAAGCGACCCAGAAGTTTCCAGTAGAACCAATTCTTCTGATATTGTCAGGGTTTGAGACCGAGTTTGTGAAGTCTTCAGAAGAACCAGCTTTAGGTCCCTTGATCCAATACCTCTTGATGTTACTCTTTGTGAACTGACTGACCAACACGAACGAACCATCCGAGCTCACGGCACAACCGGCTGATCCACTTAGCCCTTCCATCAATACGGTCACGACCTTAGTTGATGGATCGTACTTGTAGAGTTTCCCGGTCGCGTCCTTTAATCCCAATGCAATCACCACTTGGCTACATATACATAGCAAAAACAACAACATATGTTTAGTAACAAAACCTTATATTTCATAACTTTAAGTGTTATCTTTGTTTTGTTTCAAAATTAAATGAAAATCTACACAAATAAAAACTTTACAGTGGGGTGAAGCGAGAGCTAAAGGAAGTGAAGTAAACGACACCAGTAGTGGGATCAACGTCAAGACCGTCAAGAAACTTGAAGGGCTTGCCGTCTACACTGTCGGCGATCTTTACGGCCAAACCACCGTTCGGAGAAACAACGTGAAGTCCCAACGGAGCATCGGCGACGTAGAGATCACCTGTTTTCTCATTGAAGGCTATCCCTGCTGGTCGACCGCATCTTCCGGCTAAAGCCGTTCCAAGTACTCCATCGCACCATGAAGAGTTCCTGAATATTAGTAGAAACAATTGAACAAAATAATCAAAAAAAAAAAAAAAAAAAAATCAAAGTATATGTATTATGTTAGTTATATGTATGTATTTTTTTTAGTATATGTATGTATTGTTTGCGTGTGTGTGTACGTATGTAGACGTTAGTTTGACTTTTTTTACGTGGAGGCGTGTGTGTGATTCTACTGAGACAGATGGATTTGGTTAGGACTTTGGATTTTACGAGACATTGCTAATATGCGCCGGGTCACCGATAAATATGAACGAGAAGAACTTCTAAGGTTGCGTCTCGTCCACTCGTCCCAAACATAAAGTTCCTAATCCTTCATCTAACTTTACGGGTGGACAAATTAAAATAATATACATGCTGTCCATTATCCCATTTTTCTGCGATATACAACACATGTAGAATTATACATGTCGAGTTGTCATCATTTAATGCTTTCACAAAAAATAAATAATCTATTCTCCGTATTTTTCTATACTCGTTATAATCCCCAAAAAATAATATACCTCATCATCTTCTAAATAAAATATTCCAGAACACCGGATTTAAATCCGGAAAAAATAGAGTTAACAACTCTGATCACACTCTTATCCCAAAGTGTTCCCCCAAAATTGCAGTACAAAACAAAAGGGGAAATGATAACGACTCACAATTTCACAAAAAGAAACGAATTCAACAAACCAAGAAGCATAATCATCAAAAGTTATGATCTTGGAGATCAAAAGAAAATAACTTAAAAAAACTTACGAGGATTCTGTGATCTGTGCAAAATCGACATAACCCGTCTCGGGAGTATACTTGAGGATTTTACCACCGGAAACACTGGTGTAGAATCCTTTTCCGGTGGAATCAAAGGCGAAAGCTTCAGGGCCTGACCTATTTTCCGGCAGCGGAAGTTTCTGGAAAGACGCGTCATCGGAGATTACAGCCGACGAAAGAGAGAGAAGAAGAAGCACAAGAAAAATCATGGAGGAAAATGACATCATAACGTTGCTATAGAATTCACAAAGAAAAGGATGAGTATGTTTCTCTGTAATCTGTATGTATGTCCATTTATAGGTTTGATTTTTTTTTGTTTTTTATATTTATATTTTATCTTTTTATTTTGTAAATTAAATGGACGACACACGTTATGCTCGTCTGGTTATTTTTATTATTATCAGTAGAGAGACACATTTTCTTCTCTTTGGGTTTTTTGACAGATTTTGTAGAATTATAAAAAAGTCAAATAGTTACAATCCACGTACATTGCTGAATATTGAGGTAGCTAGATGTCAACGTGCGTACGAAAGAAACGTGGCATAGCTAGACTGTTAATTTTGTATATAAGATTATATAACAATAAGACATATAGACAGGATACAAGTGTAATTCCAAGGAGCAGTTGATTACTAATACAAAATAAATTTTTTAAAAACACATTTTTCTGGACACTTAAAAGTTAAAGCAAAGTTTAAGCTTTGAATGGTTTGTAGCGGATGAAAACGACTAATTAGTCGATCTTCAGATATTGACAAACGAACAATATAATACGTCGTCGATTTTCGGATTTTCAACAGTTCATTAATGTTTGCATTATCGCGGTGTAAATAAGTAAAATTAGTCCGTTCCGCCCATTGTAACTATTCAAAAATTTAGATTTCAGATATTGAAAGGGTTAAATAGATATTGCTAATAACGTATAACCGGGTGTAAAATATTGACCATTGCTTTATATATTACGTCCGTCGTCCGGGTGTAAAATAGATATTGCATAAGTGCACTGCAAATCAAATTCTAAATTTTTTGGTAATTTTTTTTCCATAGAAATGATATACAAAAGTTACCAAACAATCAAGGAATTTTACAAAATTACTGCCGTGTAGTTGTATATAGGGTATGAGGTTCTTGTAGTCTTTTTTTGTCGTATGACGTCCCTGTAGACTACATTTCTATTGTTTGTGTTTACAATTTACAATTGATAAACACACGATTTCAAAGCAAATGCTTTGACTTACCCAAAATATCTGGATCGCTTTGTATTTTGCTGTAAGTAGCCTGTAACTAATAGTTCGAGTGATGGTGGTGTAGTGATATTTGAGAGTTTAATTTTAAAATTACTAATTCAATTTTATTTACCAGAGGGGATTTGTACTAGTCTGTAAAATTTTGTCGGGTGCACTGAGAGAATCAAATGCCTATCCGACTCATGACCTCTCAATATAACGATAATGGTAAATATTGGTTGCTATCAAATTGGAGAGCTAATAAATTGGTGGTCACCTACGATTTGGTAGCCACTTTTTTTTTTTTTTTTTTGGTTTTGTAGGTTTTCTAAAAAGAGGGTGGGGGCGACAGAAAATGAAACTATTTTGTTTCGCAATTTTAAACGAGTTTCATAAATACATTGTTTTTAGTAATTGTGGTCTTATATTCCAAACTAAATGTGTCTGTTTGTGTTCTCGGTTCTCATACACAAATTTGATATTGGACTTTAGACTTTAGAATTTAGGAAATATAGGAATAATAAGTTTGAGTATTTCAATTTTGTTGCAAAGTCCAATGTATAAAGATATGAATTTAAAATAAAAATCTATTTGATTATTAGAATATACACGGATCTTACTTAACAAAACATTAAAATCAAATAGCATGTGTAAGAAATATTAAAAAAACAAAAAAGTAATGTGTACTCATTATGGCTGTTGTTTCTTGATGGCGGATGGCTTGATGCAGATGCATGCAAATCAAAATTGAATACGGAACACAACTTACACGTGACTCAAAATGTTTTCCCAACTAGTGCCATTACGTGTTTTAGCCATTACGTACAAAAGCAAGGATAATATTAATAGAAATCGCTCACGATGCTTCGCTTCGGCTTTCTCCGATACGATTTAACTGTCGTAAGTTTCGTTTAGAATTTTTTGTTTTTATGAAAATTGATTATAGTTTAAGTTTATTTAAAATTGTTAAAAAATATAGATGTATACATTTACATTTCGGATTTACCGATTTAAAAATATTTATTTTAATAAAAATAATAGCATGATTTATGATATATTAGCTGAATGAGTGTCGCATCCTAAATACTTAATTTGTTTGTTGATCGACAATACCAATTTTATTTGTCTGAGCTGTCAACAGGCTTTCACCATCAACTCAATATTAAGTCACACCAAAACAACACTCTTCTTCGAATCGTCGTCATACGTGAACCAATGCACCAAAGATGATTGGAAGCCTATAACCGGTAAAAGCCGCAATAACTTGATTGAAATAAATTGCATATATCAGTAAAGAAAAATAGGTAATAAACTCCAATTTATCCCGGTTATTCGCTTAATCTGAAAAATGCCTGAAAATGACTGGTCGGTTTATGTCCACATCAATATCAACCGCATAACAACAGAAGACTCAGTGGAAAAGTTGTTTCTTTTATTTGCTTGTTTTTGTTTTTCTTAAGAAAAAGGAAAAATTTGATACTTTTTCAGAGACAGCTACAAAAGCTAAGGAGGGCTCATTTGCATTGAACCAAGCAAAAGCCAATGAATGCCTTCTCAATTCCTTCACGGTGATCTGAAAGCTTCGCCGGCATAGCGCACATTTCCGAGTTCCTCTTCAATACGGAGAAGCTGCAACGGAAACAAAATCAAACCCACGGTTTTAAGAAACTCCCTCATCACTTAGAATAGATACACAAGTTATGTTTGTTTTTTCTTTTTCTAGTTGTATAAGTTTGGATGTTAGTTAATTACCTGGTTGTACTTTGACAATCGTTCACTTCGGCAAGGAGCACCAGTTTTGATCTACATTAACAGGGAATGATAAGAGAACACAATAGAGTAAACACGTCTATGATACAGGCAGGTTTAGAGAATATACCTGTCCGCTTGCCAAACCAACAGAAAGATCTGCGATGAAGTTATCCTCTGTCTCGCCACTCCTGTGACTAACCATTACACCCCAGCCTGCAGCTTTTGAGTCAAGTGCTGCTTGAATTGACTCGGTCACTGTTCCAATCTGGTTGACCTGCGAAAACCAATGATTACACACGAGATGAAACCGGGGTTTTGATCAAATTGGGAATCATTGTAGAAGAGAGGCAAATTGGGATTAAAAAAATTTAAACTTTACCTTCAAGAGTAGAGCATTGCAAGACTTTTTCTTGATGGCTTCAGCTATCCTCTTCGGGTTAGTGACCAACAAGTCATCCCCCACGAGTTGGATATCCACAGAGGATTGCAACGAAGCCCATGAGCTCCAATCATCCTGGTCAAAAGGATCTTCGACAGAGACAATTGGGAAATCCTTGATGAATTCTCTGTAGAGTTCAGCAAGACTCTCAGCTGATAGAACATGAGCTCCATCGTTTGGCTGTTTCTTGAAGTTCAAATCGTATCTACCATCTTTCATGAAAAACTCCGATGCAGCTACGTCCATTCCTATTTTTATCTGCACATGTTATATTGACACATCAGCTGCCAGAAGTTTGATAAGAGAAGAAACACAAAAGACATGCACCTTTTAATCATTTTATAAGGGGAACTTGACTACCTTTCCGGTGTAACCAGCCTTTTCAATTGCATCTATGAGCAGAACTAGCCCCTCTCTGTTATCTTGAACATTCGGAGCAAATCCTCCTTCATCTCCGACATTACAAGCATCCTGACCGTACTTAGCTTTGATTATCCCCTTCAACGTATGATAAACTGTAATCAACAAAATACAGTAAGTGCATTACTATCAGAAAAACAATGCTTTGGGGTAGTCCAAACAACAAAAAGAACTTGAGAATCAAAAGCGAGAGAGAAAATAGGAAGATGGTCATCACAGGTTTTCAGTCTTTCTTACATTCATTGCAAACTCAAACAAAAAGCAAATAGGAAGCCGCCATGATTTCTTTATCTTAAGTGCTAACATGTTAAACTAAAAAATCAATAACTTACCTTCACTTCCCATCTGAAAGGCCTCTGAGAATGAGGTTGCTCCCACCGGTAGAATCATAAACTCTTGCATAGCCAAACTATTTCCAGCATGACTTCCTCCATTGATCACATTGAATGCAGGAACTGGCATGACAAGCTCCTTCGTTCCCGATAGTTCTTGAATGTGTTTGTACAAAGGCACTCCTTTAGCTCCAGCACCTGCCCTGCAAACGCTCAGTGATACTCCCAATATAGCATTAGCCCCGAGTTTCGACTTGTTCAGGGTCCCATCCAGTTCCAGCATAAGAGCATCAACATCAGCTTGGTTCCTTGTAAGGAAAAAAAAAAGAGTTTCAAAGATCAATAACCTGTACTAGATTAATGACAGTCTTGAGTTCAAAGATCAGACGAATCAAACAGCTAATAAAGTCAAGGGCAGCCAAACGATTCAAATCCAAGTCAAAAGACTACGGAAAATGACAGCAAGATGCTCAACAAGTGTCGTATCGACCAGATTGACTAGTATTTACTATTTATCAGAGAAAAAGCAAAAACAAAAAAGGTTGAGACTTTCGATCTAAAATAAGCATAAAAACACCGAATCCATGACCTTTCTTATATGTTCTTTGGATTCTGGAACGAATTCTTAATTCTCACCTAACGTCAACTCCGATGAGTTTAGGAGCCACAAGGTTGTTGATGTTTCGAATAGCCTGTAAAACACCTTTACCACCATAGACGCTCTTATCACCATCTCTAAGCTCGAGCGCCTCATAGATCCCCGTAGATGCACCACTGGGAACAGCCGACCGGTACAGATTATCAGTAATCAGGTCAACCTCGACCGTCGGATTCCCTCTACTATCAATAATCTGCCTGGCTTTGACTCCTTTCACTCTACACTCCTTAGCCACCACCGAGCATTGCACACCGCTGCGGCGGAATCTCAGGCATGACGACGGCGCAGATTCCAAATATCGCTGGCCGGAAACACGATGAGGAGGAGAGAGGAAAGATCTCTGAAGATGGTGAGGTTTTGTAGTCAAAGCCATGAACGATACCTAAAAAGCCAAAAAAACTTCTGAGTTTCTCTCGCTTGTTTGACTAAAAGGAGGAAGACAAAAAAAAAGAAGGAGTTAAATATTTGAAAAACGTCCCTCCCGAGGTTGGTGCGTCTGGTAGGCGATGAAAACTAAGGAGTCAAAAAGACCAGAATTTAACCGGTTGAAAAACCTCAATTAAATTCAGGTTTAAGTAAACATATGGTTCGTTTCGGTTCGCAGAAACTTTCAAATAAAGATAAAAATAATAATTAAAGAAAATAGTATAACCAGACACAGTGCCGTCGTCGCCGCCGGCACACTATCATCTCTCAGTCTCTCTCTCGCTTAGATTTTCATTGCAATGGCGTCTTCGAGTATCACAAGCCCTAATCTCACTTCACCATCTTTCGGTATACCTTCAAATCCCGCATTCTATCTCTCACCATTGTCATCTCTGCATCTCCGAACATACCACCACCGTCCCGTCTCCCTTATAACCGCCGGAAAATTTCGTCTCTCTTGCTCCCTCTCTGATTCTTCTTCTCCTCATCTACCACCTCATTCTCCTCGCCGTCGTCCCGAATACACGCCTAACCGAATCTCCGATCCCAATTACGTCCGAGTCTTCGACACGACTCTCCGAGACGGAGAACAGTCTCCCGGAGCTACGTTAACCTCCAAGGAAAAGCTCGACATCGCTCGTCAATTAGCCAAGCTCGGAGTCGACATAATCGAAGCCGGTTTTCCCGCTGCTTCGAAAGACGATTTCGAAGCTGTGAAGACCATAGCGGAGACTGTTGGCAACACCGTCGACGAAAATGGATACGTCCCTGTGATCTGTGGGCTCTCGAGGTGTAACAAGAAAGATATCGAGACGGCTTGGGAAGCTGTCAAGTACGCTAAACGGCCTAGGATCCACACGTTTATAGCTACTAGCGACATTCATCTGAAGTATAAGCTGAAGAAGAGCAAAGAGGAAGTTATCGAGATCGCTAGGAATATGGTTAGATTCGCCAGGAGCTTGGGTTGCCAAGATGTTGAATTTAGTCCAGAAGATGCCGGAAGGTACGAACTTTTTTCTTTTCCTGAGTGTTTTGATTGAATATTCTGATTCGTGGGGGAAAAAATGGACTTTTACTCAAGTTTTGTTCTTGAAAGTCTCATCTTTTGTAGTACTTTGGAATAGTGGCATTGAAATTTTGTAGTATAGTGACTGAATAGTGTACGAGTTCCCTTTTTATTTAAATTGGATTCGGTGGTAAATTTGTGGACCTTTAGACGATCCTTTAATAACAAGATTTGTCTGTTTTCGGAAGCTCTGTTTATGTAAAATTCACTTTGTGGTGTCCAGATCGGAGAGAGAGTACTTGTACGAGATTCTTGGTGAGGTGATCAAAGCTGGAGCAACAACTCTCAACATACCTGATACTGTTGGTATAACCTTGCCTAGTGAGTTTGGTCAGTTGATTGCTGATATTAAAGCCAATACTCCTGGGAACCAAAATGTTATCATCTCTACACATTGTCAGAATGATCTTGGACTCTCAACCGCCAACACTTTAGCTGTATGTCAAAAAAAAAAATTTCTTTTTGGGGTTGCATCAGATTCGGTGTTATGAATTGTTACTAACATGTCAACGTTTTTTTTGGTACTTAAGGGTGCACATTCAGGTGCAAGGCAAGTGGAAGTGACGATCAATGGAATTGGCGAAAGAGCTGGAAACGCTTCATTAGAAGAGGTTAGAAATTGTTTTTTGTATAAAAACCTCCCCAAGTGGCCTTCCTTTCCATAGCCACTTGGACATTTTGCTACATATGAATTTTGTGACTTCTGGTTCATGATCGTCTAGTGCTGCATTTAAATACTTAGTTAATACCTGAATGTTTTCTTTGTAACTGTTTAGGTTGTGATGGCCATAAAATGCCGTGGGGATCATGTATTAGGAGGCCTATATACTGGAATTGATACTCGGCACATTGTTATGACAAGCAAGATGGTACACATCTTGAACTTCATTCTCCACATTGTGGAAGCGGAAGTAATAGGCAAAGCAGTTTGTAAATTTTCCTCATTTGCTCAGGTTGAAGAGTACACTGGTATGCAAACGCAGCCCCATAAGGCTATTGTAGGAGCGAACGCCTTTGCGCATGAAAGTGGTATTCATCAGGTCAGTTAAAGAAACATACTTTACGCTATTCTCATTATTTCTTCTGCCTCATTTACATTAAACGAGAGAAGTATATCTCTCCTGGTATGACTGACCCTTACAGCCTAAGCCTTTTACTCAGTCTCTTGGTGAAAAGAGTTAAATGAAGGAATAATTTGATTCTCAACTCATGACTTGCATATTTACTCTTTCAGTCTTCTGCATAAATCTGTTCATGAGCGTTTTCTTGTTACTATTCACACACTCTATCTAGGATGGAATGCTGAAGCACAAGGGTACATATGAAATCATGTGCCCTGAAGAGATCGGACTTGAGCGATCGAATGAAGCTGGCATTGTGTTGGGGAAGCTTAGGTATGGAAGTTTTGTTGTTGAGACTCGCTATCCTCAACGGGCTTGTTTTGTCCAACCCCAATGCTTACTGTTTTTATTTTTGTTGCAGTGGTCGTCACGCACTTAGAGACCGTTTGAATGAGGTACATAATAGTCTTTACCCATAAGGGCCATAACCATACTCACTACTACCTACCGTCTTATATATTATGAAATTGTTTTCTTATTACTTTTTACATTTCCAGCTCGGTTATGAATTGAATGATGAGCAGCTAAGTAACCTTTTCTGGCGTTTCAAAACTGTGGCTGAGCAAAAAAAGGTAGTAAGAGCCTTGGCAGGCACTAGTTTGGGTTGCTCTTCCTGAATTTGCAGACATTTAGCCCCCATTTATATGATGATGCAGAGAAGATGGATTGGGGTTTTGCTCTTTTTAATATTTTTAGTGTTTTGAAATGTTCATATAACTTCTCCTGATTGATTTTCTTCTTTGGTGACCTAGAGAGTGACCGATGCTGACTTGATAGCTTTAGTATCTGATGAAGTTTTTCAGCCAGAAGCCGTGTGGAAACTCCTGGACATGCAGGTGAATATTGGAGCTGGGATTTGTTTTTCTCTCTTTTTTAAATTTCTTCTTCAGTCAATTCTCTTACTTTGATTATGGAAGTTGGGAATGTAGATAACTTGTGGAACTCTCGGTCTCTCAACATCAACCGTAAAACTTGCTGATTCCGATGGCAAAGAGCATGTAGCTTGTTCTATTGGAACTGGACCTGTAGATGCAGCTTACAAGGCAGTCGATCTTATCGTTAAGGTATTCTTTTCCCTAGGACTGTGAGCTATATACATCAATCAATGAGTACTTTATCTTAAGCTGATCATCGGCTTTCCATATTCAGGAACCAGCGACTCTCCTTGAGTACTCGATGAATGCAGTAACAGAAGGCATTGATGCTATTGCAACCACTCGGGTTCTAATCCGCGGAGACAACAACTACTCATCAACAAACGCAGTCACCGGTGAATCTGTCCAAAGAACTTTTAGGTAAAATCACTTTTACCTTCTTCATCATCCTTGTTGAAACTAAAGTAGAGGCCTCCATCTAGCAACTGAAACTAATGAAACAGAATTGAACACACAAGTGTTTCTTGTCTCGTTAACATGGTTGAAGCTAAATTGTGTTTTTACAGTGGAGCTGGAGCAGGAATGGACATTGTTGTGTCGAGTGTTAAAGCTTATGTTGGAGCTTTGAACAAAATGTTGGGTTTCAAAGAACGCTCCTTCTCCACTCTAAGTAAAACCACTTTGGAGACCAACAAAGTACCTGCCTGAGACAACCTGCAGCAAGTCTCAGATCATTCACAATTTAGGTTCTACTTTTCAATTGGCCATTAGATGAGTACAAGATTCTTTATTTTATCACCGTTCCTTAAAGGAATGGTTTTGTATGTATAAAAAGAAGCTGGATTTTGTTAAACCTGAGACTTGGTTTAAAACTGAAACAGAAAAAAACAACTTTTTCTATAAATAGTCAAGTCCCATTTGTCCCAACATGCAAAACCGTTTGACAATTTTAACTCCTAAAGATTGTCCTAAACTAAACTAAGAACTTCAACAAACAAACCAAAACAGTAAGGTTTTTCTAAAACAGCAGATCCTTCACCAGGAAACGTTTTATGTTCTCACTTATTCATCTCCTTGTTTCAATCCCTTGGTATTACGAAAAAAAACAAAGTCCAAATTTGGTGACAATTCTCTTAAAATCTCAGGGCCTTCAAGCTCTCCAGATTCTGTCAAATATATAAAAAAAAATGTCAGAAGTGCAATCTGGTTTGCTAACAATGACGACAATAATCTTGATATGTATTGGCCTCACAATGATGGGAACAGGTCTTTACCAAAAAGCAACAGTGTCCACTTGCATCCAAGAAACCTCAAGCCAATTCGTCTTACTCGGTCTGATCCTTCTGTTGATTCCTCAGATGGGTCTATACGGAATCTGTTGCCGTTCTAAACGCCTTTTCATATTTTTCTTCTTTGGTATGATTGTGGTCATAATGATTGTAGCTTCTTACTCAATCAAATGCTTCATTTACAACACCACTTTTGGCATCGCCAAGAATCCGGCCGAGGACAACCGCACTGTCAATCAGTTGCTTGGACGGCTCGTCTCTCGGGAAAGGTTTCAGCAAGTAACCTGGTGTATCGTTCACAACCATGACTGTAATTTCAATGCCAGTAAAAACAGCAATGTTTGGGTAACTTTTGAATCTAATACTATTTTTATAACGAACTAATAAAATATGTTCTTTACATTATCTACAATTTTGAAACTTGGTTACTGAAGCATGTACATTGATTTGCTTATAATATATCTGCAGAAGTATTGCTGTGCACAGCCTCAGGGATGTGGGGACAGGACAATGTTCGACAAGCCAGGAGAATGGAGTTGGAAACAGCAGTATCAACAGAACCAAGTTCCTGAAGAATGTGATTATGAATATTGTTTGAATTGCAGAGGTTGCCAGCTCAGCATTCTGAAAGCCATTGTTCATCAATGGAAGTATCTCTCCATGTTTTCTTATCCTACCTTGGTACTCGCCTGCATCAGTCTTGCCATAGCTTGGTCTCTCAAGGAGACAGTCGATGAAGTCGAGGATTATCGAGGTTCTTATAGTTGATTTTCCCAAATATACATGAAATATATATATTGTTCTTCAATCATGCATCAATACATGTAATATTAGTAGTTGTTAAACAGGAACAAAAGTTGTGTTCAATAGAGATCGATCAATGAGTTTTCATCATAGCTTCTTCAGTCACTTATCAATCGAGATAATTTGCTTCAAAACGCAAATCCAAAAACAAAAACGATTGTTTATATAAAAAACAGAAAATATAGATTGTATAAGCCAAAAAATTATCTCTGGTAGGTGGACATGAACAAAACAACCATTTTAGAGGGTAAAAAATTCAGGACACAGATACTCTAGAAAACTCAGAAAAAGGTTATGAAATCTAGAAAACAAGCTCATGGGGCTTCATTCCTTGTTTCAATGAAAACCTTGCGCCAAGGTAAGTCTTCAGCTCTGGAACTGCTTCAATGGCTTTGATCAAAGCTGCGTCCACTGCCTTCTGGTCATCCTTCTTCCCTTGTGGAATCTCCTTCTTCTCCTGCGTAATCCAAAACGCAAAAGGTCAAGCATATGGTTTGATTTGGCAAATTACAATGAAGATGAGTTTTGTTGTCTATTATTCTAGAATGAACTTCAATAGCCAAATATTTTTCATCAAAATAAACAACTTTTCCCCAAGATAATGATTACCTCTTTCTCTGCCTCAAAGAACTCTCCTTCTCCCTTCTTTTTCTTCTTCTCGGCAACCTTTCCAAAATACTTATCATCGAATTTATCGAGGCTCACTCCAGAAATGTCAACCTTCGTGGAAGTGCCGATCACATAGGACTGGTTAACACGTCTCAAAGGAACACCATTGATCTTGAAGGGTCCTGATGGCCAATACCAAAAAAAAAGAAACATGTCAGGTTATGTAAATACGACAATCAAAGAAAAGATAGAAAAATAATCTTAGCTTCATATGGAATACAGACAGTGGGAAAGATAATGAGAACAAAGATAAAAAAGATAACTCACCAGTAACGAGAAGCAAGCCAGAGGGAAGTTGCTTCAAAAAGACAACTCTCTTGCCCTTGAACCTACCAGCAAGGATAATCAACACTGTCCCTGGGGTGATGCTTGCTCTGCAATACATATATATATAAGGAGATTGGATTAACCATAGACATCTCATTCTCGCTACGTATATAAATGAAATCAAGGTAGGCTGTTTGACAATCGCCATTAACAATAGAACGAGACTAATCACACAGATACTGTAGACAAATATTACAAATAAGAGGAAAATATAAGCAAAAACCAGTCAATCTTTTCACAGAAATTACGTACATTTCGGCCTTAGACATACCTCCACTTACAATGAAGTAACAAAATCAAGGAAATAGAACATTGTAATCTTCGAAAACTCCTTCATTTCCAATAATCTTTAAAACCCCACAAGACAACAGTTTTAAAATGATCCAGCAGATTCAAACAATCTAATACAGAGCCACTAAGCAAACAACTACTCTAAGAGCCAAACACGTAGAATACATTTGAATCGAGCTAGCTTTCTATCCAAGATCATGAGACAGTGAGTCAGATAGGTACCTGAGCTTGGTGGGTTTTGGCTTCCGCCTGTTGGCGAGAGGTTTCTTAACATCTTCAGCCGGATAGAACTTCGGTGGCTTCTCCGCCGCAGCATCAACCTTAGATTTAGCGTCGTGGCGGGGGAAAACGCCGCCGTTTTTGGCCTTGATAGCCCACAAACCCCTCTTATGGTACATCTGCGACCTCGAGTATTTACCAACACCCCTGATCAGATCAGGGTTCCTGCTGACCTTAGGCATCCTCTGTTTCGCCGGCATGGTTGCTTTCTCTCTGTCGCAAACCCTCAAAAGAGAATCAGGAAAAATTTTCCGGGAGAGAATTGACGGATGATAGTAGAGGCGATAGGTCACAACATTTGAAGACTCAGAAACCCTAAGTGAAGGGCAAGATTGGGCCTCGTGGGCCTTTAAGTCGGATTGGGCTTTTAATGCAGAGTTGTTTTCTGATTTCATGTAAACTATTGTTTAATTTTTTTACTAAGACTATCTCCATTGCAGAGATGTAGTGGGGATATAAGGATTTTGAAGCAATTAAAATAAATCAGAAAATTAGTAAAAGCTTATATTATGGGTTGATAACCTCTTGTGGAAGAGTTTCTCTTTCTTGAGTATATATCTACGTAGTGGCTTTTAATTGGAAGAAGCATTTCTTGTGTTTGGGCTTAAAATCATATATGGCCCAATAAAAATCTTAGCCCAACCACATTTCTTGTGTTTTTCAATTCTTTGGTTTTTTTTGCAGGTTTGAGAAACTGGAAGCCAAAGAGTATCGGCTCGGGATCGGACGATTGGCCGGATTCCCGCCATGGTTTTTCCTTAGTCCCTTCTTAGCACCGATGCTTCGAAGCGAGGAGTTTCGAGGAAGCAGCTTTTGACGGGCTAATTACATGTATTTCTGATTTTAATAATGCTTTTATATATATTTTGTATAATTTTCATGTTTTAACTGTTATAAATTATGTGTAATGCAATAAAATTTGGTTTACGGATTGATGTCGGATGATATTATAAATTGGGCCAAAAAATTATGTTCACATCGTTTTGGGCCTTAGAAGAATTTTTTTAATAAACTTAGCCCATTAACTCAGCCCAGTTAACATTTTAACAACTTTTAATGAGTATGAGGAATGGACTTAAAAAATAGAAAAGGAGTTCTTAATTTTTAAAAATGTCAAATTTATTATTAAATAATATTTAACAACCCTTCATGAGTATGAGGGGTGGAGATGCTCTAAGCATCGATTGATTTTGTAGAGAAAACATTCATAAGTCATATTCACTTCACTAATCTCAGACAGTAAGTGGCAGTTTCAGAAAATCAGAATAATAACTATAATAACATCACAAACCTCAAAATCAGATCAAGAGTCGAGACAATAAAGTCAACGTTTACTTCACCTCTAAGAGAGCAATGGATTATATATACTTTTGTTATATTATAGATTGAGAAGCTTTTTTGATGAAGCTGATGAGGATTTCTCCCCTTTATTCACCTTTCCATGTCATTCTTTTACAAACTCTGGTCGGCTAAAAGCTTTTCAAAAGACCAATGTTCATATGCACATGCCTATATATTAGACCTTCATTCGCAGATACACCATAACTAAAGATCCCATCGATCTATCGAGAAATATTGAATCTTGATCTCCAAGAACCAAAGCATCATAAGATCAAATGGCAATGACTGGTACTACTAGCAGCACTTTGTTGTATCCCACTCAACAACAACCGCAACAGCCATTAGGAAGCAATGAGATGGAGCCTATAGCGACAAATGCTAATCTAATCGCAGCACCAAACGGTCCAAACCACTACTCGTCCGGCTCCATTGGACCCTTCTTTGCAGTCATCTCTGTTCTTGTCGTTCTTGCAGTTCTCTCCTGCTTCTTGGGCCGGATATGCGCACGGCGCCGCCAGAGCACTGTTTTAGTGGCTGAAGCCAATCCGCTTGAGATGATAAAGAGTGGTGGGCTTTTAGGGTATCTGAGACGGAAATGGAGACGCTGTTTGGCCGGAGATGTGGAGGCTGGAGCTAAAGTTTCTGATTGTGCCGGCAAAGAAACACCTAAAGTTGGTGATCAAGCTCTCGTTTAGAAGCTCCCTTTCTTATTCATTATGTATGTTTGGCCTGATCTCTTTTACTCACTATCTATGTTTGAGAGAAACTTGTAACAAGTGTTTAGAACCATTTCAACTAGAACGTAAGCAAATTATATCTTCTTAGAATTGTTAATTTCACAGTTCTTCAACTTCCATCTTGTGAACCGTAGCCATTACTTCGCTTGTCACCGTATCCCAATTTTAGAAGTCTTGTGAAATTTTTTTCTCCATTGCTACAAATCTCACTTTTAAAAACAAGATTGATAAATATCCGTATGTAAAAACCAGAAAACATAGGAATAACGAAGCCAAAAATTTGTCTTTGATCGGTGAACAAGAACAAGATCAACCATTTAGAGAGTAAGACTAAAGGAGACACACACTCTAGAAGAGACCTCAGAGAAAGGTTATGAAATCTAGAAAACAAGCTCATGGGGCTTCATTCCTTGTTTCAATGAAAACCTTGCGCCAAGGTAAGTCTTCAGCTCTGGAACTGCTTCAATGGCTTTGATCAAAGCTGCGTCCACTGCCTTCTGGTCATCCTTCTTCCCTTGGGGAATCTCCTTTTTCTCCTGCGTAATCCAAAACGCACAAGGTTTTCTTTTAACTTCAAGCATAGATTTTGGTTTGGTAAAAAACAATGGAGGGAAAATATACCTCTTTCTCTGCCTCAAAGAATTCTCCTTCTCCCTTCTTCTTTTTCTTCTCAGTAACCTTTCCAAAATACTTATCATCGAATTTATCGAGGCTCACTCCAGAAATGTCAACCTTTGTGGAAGTGCCGATCACATAGGACTGGTTAACACGTCTCAAAGGAACACCATTGATCTTGAAGGGTCCTGAGAGTCGACAACAAAACAGGAATGTGACAAATTAACAACAACAGAACACTCAAAGAAAAGGTAGCGAATGAGCTCTGTTTCGAAATGGAAAATGAAAGGTATCAAAGATCATGAGATTAGATATAGAAGAACTCACCAGTAACGAGAAGCAGACCAGAGGGAAGCTGTTTCAAAAAGACAACTCTCTTGCCCTTGAACCTACCAGCAAGGATAATCAGCACTGTCCCTGGGGTGATGCTTGCTCTGCAATACATATATAAGGAGATTAGAATAACTCGGAAATATATATAGATGAAACTGACTACGAATAACAGGTATGCATAACTAAATCGTCCTGAACACTACATTTCCACTACTTTGAAGTTACATATTTGCAATTACGATTCAAACGAGACTGAAAGTACTTAAGAGCCAAACAAATCGATCAAACACATACAAGACAATCACATCTATCTATATATTAGTCCAAGAGAGCAACAAGTAAGGGAGTTTTATAAAATACCTGAGCTTGGTAGGCTTTGGCTTGCGCCTGTTGGCGAGAGGTTTCTTAACGTCTTCAGCTGGATAGAACTTCGGGGGCTTCTCCGCCGTGGTATCAACCTTTGATTTAGCGTCGTGGCGGGGGAAAACGCCGCCATTTTTGGCCTTGATAGCCCACAAACCCCTCTTATGGTACATCTGCGATCTAGAATATTTACCAACTCCCCTGATCAGATCAGGGTTTCGGCTGACCTTCGGAGTTCTCTGTTTTGCCGGCATCGTTGCTTTTTCTCGGCGCTAATCCTAGAAGGGAACGACAACTTTTCCGGCTGTGAATTTAAGGGACGAGGAGACGCTAACCATAGATGATAATTGAAGAAGATAGAAAACCCTAAAAATTAAGATGGGCCAAATTTGGGCTTCGTTAGGTCGAGCAACAATTGTGGACCAGGCATTTTGAGCTTTCTTTGTTTCTAATTGACTTACTACGCACATGAATTGATTTCATTTCATAAAGCAAAGATTCAAAAGTTAGACAACTTTCTCTAGTTGTTTGCCACATCAGCATTGGAAAAAGTTTTACATGTCACTTAAATTTTAATTAATAAATTTTAATATTAAATTTTAAAACATTTAAAAAATATAAAAAGTTTATTTTATTAATTGACTCATAATTAACATTAAATAAACATTTATATTATAACTGATTAAAAATATTAATAGATATGTATTTAATTTTTATATAACTGTATATTACTTAATAATATTCCAGATGTATTTTAAATTAATTTTTTAAGATTATTTATAATAAAATACTAACAAGTAACAAATGAAATGATGATTATATTTATTTTAATTTTTATTAATTAATTATTAATTAATATTTGTGTAAATGTTAAACAAAAATTAATGTTTTAGTTAATTAAAAATATTGAATGATACTTATTAATTTTAATATAACTTTAAATTATTAAATAATATTTAATATGTATTTTAAATTAATATTTATTTTTAGAATAAAATATTAACAAGTAAGTAAGTAACAAGTGATGACTATATTAATTTTTATAAAATTATATAAAAAAAATTTTGAAAAAAAATTGAAAAGAAAAACCCGCACGTAACATGCAGGTATTCACCTAGTTAGTATAAAATGTACTTTTACTCTTTCAAATAGATATACACTTCCCTTTCCGGGCCTCTTCTCGAGTACTTCTATTTACCAAAATATGAACTTCCTCTTTTGGAAAACAAAAGAGCTAGGCATGACATCCACAAAAAGATATTTATCCTTGGATCCTGTGGTATATTTGGAAAGCGATGAACGACAAGATCTTTTCCCAGTAGATACTTTGATCCACGCCAAGATTGAATCAGAAAGCTGGAAGCTTGCAAACGACCCAGAAGAAGACGAAGACGCAACAGACGAGACTACCCCCCCCATTCCTTGGCTCCCGATTACTCTACCGGATGCCTAGAGGTTCCCGATTTGTCAGGTTGATGCATCCTGGACAGGCAGCGACCTGATTACTGGGCTAGGGTGGAGCTTAAAGGAGGATAGGAGTGGAGAGACTTTAGGCCTTCAGGGTTGTCGTAGAAGTCTCTCGGCCCTTCATGCCGAGTTGGAGAGCCTCTTATGGGCTATGTCTTGCATGAAAGATCGACTGATCTTATCCGTCCACTTTCAAACCGATTGCTTGGATTTGGTAAGCATGTCAGAATCTCCATCAGATTGGCCATCTTTCTTATCAGAGTTGGAAATCTTCCGCAATCTCCGAGAAAGCTTCTTGAACTTCACACTCTCTCATATTCCCAGAAGTTCAAATGTCCGAGCGGATAATCTTACAAAAGAAGCTCGAGCAAAAGGCATTTTTTTTCCCAAATCATTCATAACGAGCCAGTTGTGAGAGGTTCTTCCGAACCACCTTTTAACGGGCCAATAGTGATGTAGTAGTTGGATAGTTGAAAAAAAAAAAATAGATATACACTTCATTAATGCGTATTACAAATCAATAAAAACAACAAGAAGGGTTTATAATTAGTAGTAAGTTGAAAGTATAAACATATTCCTTCCATTTAAGTTTAGGTAACCTACAAAACGCAAATTTGTAGGTATTTTATCAATCAATAAAAATTTATAAAATAAAAATAAAACACAAAAACGCCTTTTGCCATCCTACAATTTCACTAATATTTTACATTTTTACTTAACAAAAATATAAATAAAACACCATTAAAAATGATTTTTAAATAGCTTATTTTATTTCATAAGATTATTTTCGCCATTGTGCAATTATGCAGTCCATATCATTTCTGCGTCCAATAGAATTCATAGGTGTGGGCTGCCTTAATACATAACAAAATTTATCTTTAGCCAGTTTTGATACCAATCAGAACCTTAATTACTTGAAAGATATACGAAATCGACATTTCCAAACCAAAAGAGAAAAAATTCCCAAAAAAGCAAGGATTTGACCAAGTCATGAGGTCATTGAGAGTCAATGAGACCACAGTTGGTGACTAGGACTTTTGAATAAGGCCGATTAAAGCCTCTCTCCGCCACCACGGCTCTCTTATCTCCGATCACCTTAGCCACCCTGTTCGTTCGCAACACCACAACCACAATCACAACCCTTGATAAGGCTTTAATCTCAAAAATAACGAAACGAATCCAACGGTCGATATTCAATATTCTTACCTGAAATAAGGAGAGGATGTATTATCCCTCACCGTCTTCACTTGCCTCATCTTCTCCACAACTTCCTTTCCTTCCAACACCTCCCCAATCACCAGCACCGATTCCTCCAGCTCCGGCGAATCACTCGCCGTAATCACAAACTCCGTTCCGTTAGGCCCCACCGCTATTTCCTCTTCCTCCACCTCAAGCTTCCCGTTCCTCGCCACCAGCTTCGTCTTCGGTGGCGGTTTCGACGGATCCCTCACCACGATTCCAACGCTTCCCGCCTTGATTTCCTTGCATCTCTCTCCTCTTTTCCCTCTCTCCCATTCCTCGATTAGGTTTTGTAGGCTCCCAGCTGCGGCGGTTGCTCGATCTGCATCGGCGCCGTACGATCTGATTCCGCCGTGCTGGACGTATCCTGGCATAATCTTCACGAACTCTTTTCTCCGGTAGCTGATTCCGGCTTTTCCGCTCACGATGCTGCTGAATCTGGCAGTTCCCGCCGGCACGTCGTCGCCGTATAAACCGATTATGATCCGTCCGATTGGTTCTCCGTCGATGGATACGTCAATGAATGCTTTCTTAGTCAATACCTAGATTATGGCCAATTTTGGGGTGAAAATGAGAAAGAAATTGAATTGATGCATTATCGAAGATTGAGACATGAAATTGAAATCTGTAGTTACTCTATTTCCGCAATTCGGTGGATTATCGATTTCTGGAGAGATTGTATCTGCTTGGGCTTTAGAGAGGTCGAACAATGGCGTCAGAGTAATCTGAGTACCGAGGAGTAGAAGCAACGAGGATTTACTTAGATTCCGGCGTGATAATCTACAGCTGAGTTCGAGCGACGGAGAGGCTCCTCCGGCGGTTCTCCGGCTGGGCTGCGGTGGCTCTACAGGCGACGGTTGAAATCTTGCGGATGCGGTCGAGAGTTTTGCATTGGGTAGCATCATTGTCTTCATTTTCTCTGCCACTGATGGGTTTGTGTGTTAACAGTGTCTTCTTTTTTTTTGAAAGATAGTTTTGGAGATTTCGTTGGATAAGGAATCCAAAATGAGCCATATATACATATCTGTAGCATCATTATCTCATGTCACAACCAAAAACAATTTATATATACTGTATTAGTTCTGTTAGTTTTGGATCAACTAAGTAAAACATATCTAATTTCATTTTCCGCTACAATTTCTTTTGAACCTTACAATATTTTCGTTTTTTTCTTAGTTCATTGTCCATAGTCACTAAGTGAAACATGACAGTCATGACTTCTTTGGGGGTTGATTAACGTTAAATCTCATAAATTCTTCATACTTTTTCGTGAATTTCATTGCTTAAGTTCTACCAAAAATAAAAAAAGAATTCATTTCTTATGACCATTCTGTGTACCTAAAACGAGAGATTTAACTCCACAATTCAACAAAATAATTCTTACTATGATATCATCAAGAATATACAATGTTATTGGTTTTTTACGAGCTTCATTTTGTTAGTGAGACATTTCATATGTTGTTTCGCTAGAAAATTATCTTAGAAACTCTCCAGTAACTATTTCAAACAAATTGTTTTAAGTTTCCAGTTATATGTAAAACTAAAATGAAGGAAATTGTGGTTCCTTGAGAGAATATATCATCATGATGTATAATCGTCTCTCAAGACAAACTAGTGCAACCAATCGCACTGGTTTTGAGAATTGCAATTTTGAATAAGAATCAGCAAACCCCAACTCCATTATCCAAGAACATGATGATAAAATTCATCGAGAGGCCATCATATATGATCTTAACATCCTTATTATTAGGTGTTGATGCTAAGTCTCCTTGTTCTGGTTTTGAACAGTCTGTTTTTAAAAATTAATGAACTTTTATAGTGGGAAAATAAACAAACAAATGCAACCAATCGGACGGATCCTTTGTTACTTATCCTTTGTTACTTATCAGTTATCATCATAATTCGCCTAGGCGTTAGTCTCTTATCACCCGCCTACCTACTGTCTAGCGATTTTTTGAACATTGTTAAATATTATTTTGTTTAAGCCAGACTAAAACACAAGCCCAAACACCAACACAAAACCATGATTAACCGAGAAAGTGAGCCTATATATACTTCGCAACCGTAAGTTAGAAGACCTGACCTGTTTGTAGACAAACAGTTTTGGTGGTTTTCCGTTTTAGGCATTGTGTTCAGTCACATGCATCTTTTGGAAAAATAAGCTCTAGTATCGATTAATCAAGTATATTTATGATTTGCCTTTGTTTTCATCGCGTGTTTATTGATTTATTTAATATGTTGTCCAGGTCCAGTGTTTTAAGGGCCAAGTTCTAGGTAGTTTCTTCAAAATTGAAACGACATCAACTAATATAAGTAAATTACCACTTTCCTCGAACCTTCAAAATATGTATAAACCAGACCGCGCGCCTACTGTTTTTCTAAACCATCTCGTATTTCTTATTCATTATTATAATTATTTTGTTGTCGTGTAATGATTTTTTTTCTTTTGTGTATGCTTATTATAATATTGTTTCTAATCCACGATTTTGGTCTGTCTTAGAAAAGTCGCGCACTCCATCTTTTGCAGTTGATTTTATTCTGATAATAATAACACGTCACACGTACTCTTCTGCCTTCGCATTTTCTTTGATTCTTTCTATTTTTTCTGTGCATGTCCCTAGGACCCTAGGTTAAGTTTTGTTTTTCTCTTCCACAACTCGTGAATGTTGATCGTGAGCTATGACTTTGGACATATTTTAACCACAACTAATTAAATATATTCTGATGACCGTTCTATTTGTCTGAAAACATCCAAAGACTGATGAGAAAATTCAACTAATAGAAAATATGACAGTAGAGTACTATACATTTAATGTTCAAATTAAATTTTTTGTCCACAACAAAAAAAAATGTTCCGACTGTAAAGGAAATGGAGACTATTATTGGATAAAATGAATCCCATTTATCTACAAAAGTGTTGTCTAATACGTGAGACTTCAATTTTTGTTTTGACAGCCGTGAGATGAGACCTCAATTATGATGTCAACGTGAGAAATATATATCGAATCTTTTGTCGCTAAAATCAAACCTATTTAAACTCATAGTCGTAATATATATTAAAAAACTTTCTCATATTTTTATATCACTTTCAGGTCAAATACTTGTCTCAAGAATAGTATTATAAAGTGTTAAATTACAAACTAATTTGTAAACCAAATTTCATGTGGCTTTATGTCAAATATATGAGTGTTTGGCGTTTCTGTCTACGTACTCCGACTATTATTTGTTTTAAAATTATTTTAAAAATCTAACGTTGTAAAAAATTAATTTAGACTTCAACCAAGTATTTAAAATAGAATGAGGAAAAGATAAAACACCACTTATTGATTCTGATGTGGATTAAAACCCTATAAAAATGGTACGAGTTTGCAGCAGCCACATGCGGAATAGTATCCGTCACCAATCTCAGAAGAAAAAAATCTCCATATACGTGTGTAGAAAAGTAATTAAGTTAGCTAGGACTTGTCAATATATATTACGATCAATGATGTTCCGAGCTCGCATCCAAAATTCCATAACATACAAAACCTATTTAAAGATTACTCGAAAACATAAGAAATAAAAAAAAATCGTTTGGTATGATACTCTAATTAGGAATCTCCATCTCAAAGTTTTATGGGGTAACTCATGATTTCATGAAAAAGCCAAATTTATAACACAAAAAAAAATAAAATGTTTAAAGAAAAAAAAAAACAGAGAATTGGCTAGCTAGGAAAATGAGGATACGTAGAAAAGCCTCCATCTAAAACTTTTTCCACTGACAAAGTCTACACATTTGAACCTTTTATTAAAAAAAAAAAGTCTACACATTTGATAAAAGTAACTTTTTTATAACTAATTTAAAATTCACGTGGCAGACACTGCAAAACGACGCCGTCAGCTGCACAGAAGCCACGCACACATATTATAAAAAGCTCTGCGATCCATACTCAAATCTCTCACTTGCCTTAGCCAGGCCAAGTGAAAACAAGCAAACATCTCTCTGCTCTCTATATTCTTCATCTCAAAATACGAAAAAAATTTATCAGTTTTTGAGAAAAAAAAATATCAATTATATATGAAAAAGAGAAGTAGAGTCTCGAGTAAGAACAGGATGTCGATAAGACGTATCTATCGATGCCTTAATGTTCTCATCAAAAGATCAAGTAGTCCTTTATTTATATGATCCATCATAAGCCCACAATACAAAATAGCTCTCTTCTTCTCTCTTTCCCTATTTTCTCTCATTACAATCAAGAATCAAGAATGGTTAGAACACCTTGTTGCAGAGCAGAAGGGTTGAAGAAAGGAGCATGGACTCAAGAAGAAGACCAAAAACTCATTGTGTACGTTCAACATCACGGTGAAGGAGGATGGCGCACCCTTCCAGATAAAGCTGGTATGCCTTATTTTTTTTTTTTCTCTGTTTCTTCTAATTATTAATTTCATCAATTTAGAATATTCTTGGCATTATACTGTTTTATTGATAATTGATAATTTTCAATCATTATAATATTACAGGACTCAAGAGATGTGGCAAAAGCTGCAGATTGAGATGGGCCAATTACCTTAGACCTGACATTAAGCGTGGAGAATTTAGCCACGAGGAAGAAGATTCCATTATCGAGCTCCATGCCATTCATGGCAACAAGTAAGTTTTTTAAAATATAGTGTATCAGTTTAAACTTGATTAAGGACATTAAACAAGGATTGATCGATTGATATATTGCTTTAGTATTTGCATTTCATTACCTATTTTTATATATAAAAAACTGTTTATATAGTTGTATATAAATAACATATCATATTATAATTTCATCACATGTAAAGTATTTAATTATCATTAAGAAATTGCAAAAGCAAATCATATTATTCAATATTATTATAGCAATGTTAATAAAAATATTAAAACGAAAAGAAAGTTATTGAAAACGATATATAAACTTAGCTAATGTAAAGGTATAATAAAATAAAAACATTAAAAATCCTCACAAATCATGTGTTTCGTCACAGTTATAATGCTATAGTGGTGATTTGGTATAAACACTTTTGCTAATTAAATAATGTTTTGTTGATCAGATGGTCGGCCATAGCTCGTAGATTAGCAGGAAGAACAGACAACGAGATCAAGAACCATTGGAACACTCACATCAAGAAACGTCTGCTTAAGAAAGGTATTGATCCGTTGACCCACAAGTCCCTTCTTGATGGTGCCGGTAAATCATCAGACCATCCTGAGACATCGCTGGAGGAAGATGATCAGAAGTCAAACAATAATAAATCGTCCGGGTCACCATCAGCTCGGCTCTTGAACAGAGTAGCAAGCAGATTAGGTAAGAGAATCAATCACAGTGTTTTGTCTGATATTATTGGAAGTGGTGGCCCGCTTATTAGTCACATTACTCCTCCTACAAGTGCTTCTGAACGTGAGAAGTCAACGAGTTCTTCTTCCAAACCATCCCCTTCGAATCTACTCAATAACCAAAACATGAACCTCGATGCAACATCTTTGTCCTCGTCCATGTTTTCAGACTCCTCCGATTCGTTAATGTACGAAAATATCTTCGGTGACATTGAAGATATGACGGGATTTTCATCAAGATTTTTGAGTGATGTTGTATCTCATGATGATGAAGATTTTTTGATGTTGGACGAGTCTTGTTTAGAGAACACTTTGTTCATGAGGGATCTTACAATGATTCTTCAAGGGGATAAAATCGAGACGAAGTCGTTTAATGATATCCACGTGACTCCGCTCAATGAAGTTGACTCCTTTGAAGGGATTGACAACTATAACTGTCAAGATATTACTTCCGAGAATATTCTACTTTCTTATGATGATGATGATGAAAATTTGGCAAGTAAATCAATTAGAATTTGATTATGCTGTGTTTTTTTTTTTTGCTTTGTGTGAGCTTCTCACTTATTGTGACGTTGTTAATTTGCCTTGTAAGAAACATAGTACTACAAAAGTAGAAATACTCTGTATAATTAATGGTGTCGAGATTGAATCTGAAACAACATTCCCTGATATAAATCAGGGAAACTACTCCGAATAACACAAATTTTTAAGCAGGTATATGCAATTATCAATCATTGTAGTTTTTTAAAGGAGATATATACAATCATTTTAAAGGAGGTATATACAATCTGTAAAAATATTTAAAAGTAAACTTATATACAACATTCTAATAAATAAACAAAATGGAAGCTAGTAATAAACATAAATATATATGATTCAAGAAATATTCCCTATAAATTAACCACTAAATTTACAAATGAAAATATAATTTACAAACATTCGATTGTTGTGTTCATTCAACTATCTGAACCTTCGGAGATGTGTCCATAATATAATTACTATTAATTGAATTGCTTTAGTATGCATAATGTTCCATTCCACTATTGGTTTGATGACTCATGAGTGGACAAGCTAGCTAACCGCTACAGCTAGCAGGTGAGAATGAGATACATAATAATTGGCATATATATTATCCTTTCGGTTCCACTGATTTTCAACCGTATATAATAATTAATAAATAATTACACTACTGAGGTTTGTTCGAATATGTCCAATTTGAAAAATAAAAATAAAAATTTGAAAAATAATATAACTTAAAACTAAAACTGTAAAAAATAATTTTGTGTTTGGGTTAAAGAAACTTTAATCGCCGTTGCCGATCTGTAATAAATTTGATGTATGAACTTTGAATAACTAGAAGTATGATGCGAGATACAATGTCTTGAGAGATATCACATAGCGGCACAAGATTGACCTTTAATTTCCAATCTCTTTGAGTCTCTAAGGAAGTAGAAAATTAGAAATGAGACCTTCGGATCGCAGAATCTCTCATTCTCTCATCTCAAAAGGACACCTTTTGGGAACCAACTTTTAACTATTGACTTACTCATGCTGTAATGCATACACATTAGATGCGGATGCAAACATGTCGATGATCTCATTTATATCGCCCAGGGAGAATTTTGTTGGTACGTTTTTTCCATCGCAGAAGTGTTGAGAATTAAAGCGAAGAAACTAGACAGAAAATGGAAAACACATTAAAATAAATACATGATTTTAGACTTTATTTATGGTTTTGTGAATGAATAATACATACCTTTAAGATTTGTGTTTATTATATAGTCCCAAAACCCGATTTTAATAAGATTAGTAAAAATAATATTTCCTAACCTTGATAAAATACCGTACCATTGAGAGGCAAGCTTTTCGTGACAGTCCTTTTAGTATAAATAGAGATATGTTGCTAAGAAAATGTGTTTTTTTCTTTTGTTTCTAATTTAAATTCTGACATTTTGACATAAAGCTTGAAATGCTTAGATCGATTACTACTAGAAATCCCAATCAAACTAAACTAAAGATAGCATTCTTTAACCAAATATTTAAATTGTTGGTAGCCCACTTTAGAAAGGAAAAAAAACTGTTCCGCACTTATTAAAAGCTAAAAAGGATTACATGATTTTATTATCATAACCTTTTAAACCACACAGGGGGCTAAAGATTCCAAACTAAATAAAAACAAATAAAAGTTTAGCAGTTGAGATATTACAAATCTCAAATTGATTGCCAATTAAGTAAGTATTACTCTCGGTATCAATGTTTTTAAGTTTTTTTTTTTTTCATTTTGTTATTAAAGTTTCTATACAAAAGTAAATTTAATTTGATGTTTTGTGACTATTTGTACTTTATAGTAGTATATTTTCTTCCAGGTCAATCTATATAATCCTACCATTTATCAGCGAAATGCGATCAACGGAGCAAGACTATAAAAGATTCATGAAAGGTTCAAACCAAAAAAAGACTCAAAAATATTGGGATTTACGAATATAATATGTTGCATATTGATGCGGGTGATCACGAGCGGTTGAGGAGAAGTCTATGGCGATGGCACGTACGTGTTTGTGACTTTTGACTATTCAACAATGATCCATGACGTAAATTCGTACTTAAGGTATCATGATTTGCATTTTTGCATAATTAATTATTCGCAAATAACTTTCAACTTTGGCTCCTTTCCACTTGACATTTTAGAAATCTATTACGGGTTTATTTGCATTCTGATTGAATTTAACTGATAAAATTATACTTATTCCCATAAGATATGCTAGATTCCATTTCTCCATTCAACTCGATTCAGTAATCAATCATAATGAAACACTATAATAGAAAGTGTAACACGTAACAAGATTAAAAATGTGATTTCCTTTTATTTTATTTTAAAGTGAAATCACTAACTAACGTAGTAACGTCCTATGCTAGTCCGAGCCTTCCTCAGCAAAGTGATTCTACTTATTCGTTGTATATATCTTTTTGTCGCATTTGAGGACAAACAAAATTTGTCTATTCAAAATTATAATAGTTGGTAAAGTGGAGATTATGGACTTTAAACAACTAAAGATCCATAAACTGTTGTAGAGTGTTTTCATTTGTCTTGGATAGTTATGCGCACAAGTTAGTTAGGAGAGCATTCCAATCTCATATGATATACGGAATGGATTGTATATAAGTCGTGGACCTACAAAATACATATACAATGCTACTGGCAGATCATTTGGTATGTTGTGGTCGAATATGCTACAAACACAAGTTTGTTTAATCTATTGTATACGAATACATCATTCTATACATGAAAAAAGATATATCTTACGGATATCATGTAACAGACGAAAAGATAGATCAATTCAATGAAAGCAAATTATGCTGATGCTCCTTGTATTCTGCTTAGGTTTTCGGATTATTAGTTGTGGAGTCGTGGTTATAGACTTGTTGTTGTGGAATTTTGTTTTGAATTTTTTATTACAAAAGTTTGTAAGAGTCGTGGCTCTGCAAGGTAAGGCAACAAGTGTGACGCACGGAAGAACGAGAATAACACAAATTCATAAGTGATACATAGGATGTAGAAGAGATGTTGACGTGGTACTATTGATGCAAGGTAAGGGAGGAGATCTTCGTAACAAGAAAGGGAGATTGTAATCCCAACGGAAAAAGAAAAGGAGATATACACAAGGCGAGGTGGTATATATTCCAAGGAAGTTAGCCGTTCTGAACGAGAATTAAGAGATCAATATCACAAGAAGCTAAGTGAGAATTTAAGATTCTTGGTGAGTGATTGTAATCTAGTTACACAACTGTTGTTCTGGTAGATCGGATAGACTAAGAATTGGTCAGTGTCGAATTGCATAGCAAGGTCGTGTAAAACTGATTAGACAGATCGTTTGAGATTGTCTAAGTAATTTCTAATAAAAGGCAAAAAAGTGTTTTGCAAGATCAGTGTGTTCAACTCATTGTTTCTGTGTTACATCCCTTTCGAAGTTGTGGACTTGGAAGAAGAAGAATAGCTCAAATTTGAAGAGATAAAGTTAAAACTGAATAGATACGATGGAAATGGCAATTTATTCCTCGCAAACAGGGAAATGACAAGCAATGAGATTTGCTGCACAAGTAAACATCAAAATAAATAAAATAGATAAATAAATGACACATGGTGTATTTATTGCTAATTTCCTATAACATGGTATGATATTTATTTATGTGGATATCCAATTTATTAAATAAACATTGTTTTTGATTATTTTTGGGTGAAAATCAATGCACCAAATATCTTCGTCTTGGCATCAGATTTTTCGTCTTGGGACAGTAGCCATGGCAGGACACTAAAATATCTCAAGAAATCCACTTGTTTGATTCCCTTTTAAAAGTTAATGACTTCTCCAAGAATTCCAAATTCTACAAATATTTCCAGAATCAATTAAAATAACACAAACCAATAAACCATCTAATTGTATTCTCGGTATTCAGCTCTTGGCGGGTGGATTCAAAAGATTTGGCGATCTGAGGCTGTGTCAGCTGACTGATTCTTCGCCTAGTGAACCCCATAAACAAATGGTAGTATGATCTTTTGGATGTGAACCATTTCATATTTTGGTTTTTCGGCGTTTTATAGAGGATTAACTTGGAGTCTTGGATGGTGTTTCATGAATCACTTAGTATGACAAGTCCATTGAAATTCTAATTTTTCTGTTCACATATAGTTTTTTTGGTTCTGTGGTATGATATCTCCCTGGTCTTTGTATTAAACTATCCATGTTCCTTGTATTCAAGTAGAAATTTGTTCTTGTTCTCTGTGTAAGAACTCCATTAAACATAGAATTTCCAGACTGTAATAAACTTTTCCATTCGATTTCTGAAAAGAAACTCTATATGCACCTATGGACTCTTTTTTTCCACTCCAATTAGAAAATGTTAGTATTCTGCTATTAGCTCTGGTTTTGTTAGTTTAGATAAGTGGAAAATCGGGTTGAGCATTTATAGGTTTCGACTAGTTCCCAATTCATCTGTCCATCCAACCTCATTTCCATAGTTAAAATCGTTTTCTCCACTTAAAGTCTACTCTGCATTGAGGAAGGTATTGAAACGACTGTTAAAATTTCCCCAACGAAGTAACAAGCGTTTCATTGTTGTCCAAACATTTAACATAGCAGATGGTCACATGTCAAGGCTTGCATTTGGTAAGTATAAACCTTACTGGGCATGTACTTGAACTGGACCCACTCTAGTTTGCAAGATTGCGTCACAGCTTAAAGTTAAAAGGCTTAGAGAGTGTTTTTTTCTTAATCAAGTCATTAGGAAAATCGATATTAAAGAAAAGTATACGTGGTAATATTGAAGATTTCAGAAAAGCAGCTGATTGAGATTTATGCTATTGAAGACTGAAGAGTGTAGTCATAGCACCATCTTGAATAGATTACAGAGAAGAGCTACTTTTCCACTGATATTTTTTTTTTTTTTTTTGTTAAAATCAGGGAGAATTGGAATTTCTTTTTGGTTTTATATACTTATTTTATTTACTCATGTGCGCACCAAACCAACAACCTGCGAATCACATACTAACACGTGTGTGAAAAGTAGCTTCACTATAAACCCAATCCGATCTTTGTCTAAAGAAAGACCATCTCTTTATCACCCACAGAACAGAACAAGTACTCAAAAATCCTCCTCTTTCTCTATCTCCAATGGAAGCAGAGCCCCAAACCAAAACGACCATACCAAACCAGGATGAGACCGAGACAGAGTCAACAGAGTTCGTGAAGAACCAGAAACGGTACCAAGAACTTATCTCCACGTTTCCTCACGAGAAAGGCTGGAGGCCAAAAGATCCCTTTATCGAGTACGGTGGTCACTGGTGGCTACAACCTCTCCTCGAAGGTTGTCTTCACGCGCAAGAATTCTTTCAAGCGCGACCTAAAGACTTCTTCGTCTGTAGCTACCCAAAGACAGGTACCACTTGGCTCAAAGCCCTAACTTTCGCCATCGCCAATCGATCCCGCTTCGACGATTCCTCCAACCCTCTCCTAAAACGTAACCCTCACGAGTTTGTTCCTTACATCGAGATCGATTTCCCTTTCTTCCCTGAAGTAGATGTTCTCAACGACAAAGGGAACACTCTGTTTTCGACTCATATCCCACACGCGTCATTACCCGATTCGATCATAAAATCGGGTTGCAAGATGGTTTACATATGGAGAGACCCCAAGGACACTTTCATCTCCATGTGGACTTTCCTCCACAAGGAAAAATCAGAGCTTGGACCACTCAACAATCTCGAGGAGTCTTTTGATATGTTCTGCCGAGGACTGTCTGGGTACGGTCCTTATCTAGATCATGTCTTGGCGTATTGGAAAGCTTACCAAGAGAATCCAGATCAGATTTTGTTCCTCAAGTACGAGACTATGAGAGCTGATCCTTTGCCGTATGTGAAGAAACTAGCTGAGTTCATGGGCTATGGATTCACAGCGGAGGAAGAGGAGAAAGGGGTTGCTGAGAAAGTTGTGAGTCTTTGCAGCTTCGAGACATTGAAGAATCTTGAAGCTAACAAAGGGGAGAAAGAGAGAGAGGATCGTGCTGCTGTTTATGCGAATAGCGCGTATTTCAGGAAAGGGAAGGTTGGAGATTGGGCGAATTATCTGACTCCAGAGATGGCTGCTCGTATCGATGGAATAATGGAAGAGAAATTCAAAGATACCGGTTTGCTTGAACATGGTAAATGACTGTGTTCTTGTTCCGAGAACTGATTGATCTTTATATGCTTGTTTACAGCAGACGTTTGCTTCTTTTGTCACTTTGATTCCATAATGTAATTGTTATTTATTGGAATAATAATCAATCTTGCTTCTGTTTTATACAAAGTGTATGTTTTCTATAAAAGGAATGTGTTTTGTACTACCATTATCTATCATCATTCATTTTTACTTGATTTATGCAATGTCAAGTTTTCTTCAGTCTCTTCTCTTCGTGATCATATTAAATCATGTCCGAAATTTTTGATTTTGAGTATTAATTCAACCATTTAGGATCATAAATCAAAGATCTTTCTCTTGTTATATAATAAGGTGATACAGATTACAGACAATAAATGACAAATACAGAACCAAACAGACAAAACAGAGCATCCTCTGTTTCGCGCCAACTAACAAAAAGGACCATAAAGAAATCAATCAACTAAAACGCATTTCAGTAATCATGTTGAAGCAAGCCAGTATCTTTGAATTTCTCTTCCACTAGCCCATCGATACGAACAGCCATCTCTGGAGTCAGATAATTCGCCCAATCTCCAACTTTTCCTTTCCTGAAATACGCGCTATTCGCATAAACCGCAGGACGATCCTCTCTCTCCTTATCCCCTTTGTTAGCTTCAAGATTCTTCAACGTCTCAAAGCTGCAAAGACTCACAACTTTCTCAGCAACACCTTTCTCCTCTTCCTCTGCCGTGAATCCATACCCCATGAACTCAGCCAATCTCTTCACAAATGGCAAAGGATTAGCTCTCATAGTCTCGTACTTAAGGAACAGAATCCGATCTGGGTTCTCTTGGTAAGCCTTCCAATAACCTAAAACATGATCCAGATAAGGACCGTACACAGATAAACCTTTGCAAAACATATCAAAAGACTCCTCGAGACTCGCTAATTGACCCTCTTGAGACTTCTCCTTGTGGAGGAAAGTCCACATGGAGATGAAAGTGTCCTTGGGGTCTCTCCATATGTAAACCATCTTGCAACCCGAATTCACAATCGAATCGGGTAATGACCCGTTAGGGATATGGGTAGAGAAAAGAGGGTTCTTTCTGTCCTGAAGGACATCGACGGCTGGGTAAAACGCGAAATCGATCTCGACGTAAGGCACGAACTCGTGAGGGTTTCGTTTGAGGAGTGGGTTCGTGGCGTCGTCGAATCGGGATCGATTGACTATAGCGTAAGTTAAGGCTTTGAGCCAAGTCGTACCGGTTTTCGGGTAGCTACAGACGAGGAAATCAGTGGGTCGTGCTTGAAAATGGTCTTTGGCGTGAAGAAGACCTTCGAGGAGACATTCTTGCCACCAGTGTCCGCCGTATTGGGTTAAGATCTCGTTGGGTCTCCAGCCTTTGCTCTTTGGAAGCGCGGCGATGAAATCGTGGTACTTCTTCTGGGTTTTCTCGAACTCCGTGAGTTCGAGTTCGGATCCGTTTTCGATTGTCTTCGATTCCACAGCTTCGAATCCGTTCTGGGTCGTGTTCGATTCCATTTGACCGATTTCAGAGGATAAGTCAGGAAGCTCTTTTAGAGTTGTGTGGGGAAGATTGAAGAAGAAGATGGATTGAGATTGTTCAGAGATGAGAAAAGGGTTTTATAATAGAAGCGGAGATTTAGGTAGGTGATGATGGGTCGTTAATACGACAAATTTTGTGGGTCACATCATTTGAATTGACACGATTTCCTTAACAAAAAAAAATAACCAAGCTATTATATCAAGTTCTTACAAAAATTACTCTGAAACTTAACCGGTTTAATGATCAAAAAATTTTTGTTTTGCTTTTGTTGTTTCTATTTGACACTCGATATGATTAGAAATCTCGTCTTATAACATAAAAAATAGATTATATTTACGTAGGTAAATACAAAAGTAAGCAAATTGAATATTAAATTTTGTGATGGGAGAATAAGTGGTTGTTGTTGTAACTAAAAAAAATCACGTTTTAGAAATGGAAGTTTGTTGGTAGAGAGGCTTGGTTGGTCTCGCTCCGTAATTGAGTTTCGGTCCACGTTTATCTCTAGGCCAACGCTGAATCTTCTGTGCAGCTTCCAACCCTTTTTTAGAAAATAAAGCAAAATCTTTAGATCATTAAATTTCTTATTCAACCCGGCCCATTAAGACCCATATACTACTAACCTACATATATGATATATCAAAATCATTCTGCGAGTTTGAAGTTTTTCTACAAGAAATAAGATTTCCCTCCTGTATTTAGATTTTGGTAAAAAAATTTTTTTGAAGAATGTAAAATTTTATTCATAAAAAAAAACCTTTTACAATGAATGCTTCGTAAAAACAGAGTTTGAATCAAAATTTTCTATCGTTTGAGCTAGTAATGTCGTCTTGCCAAATTCTACCTAGTAATTTCTCTATCTATAGAATTTGGTAATTAATAAAACCTGATAGATCAATAAAAAATAAGAACTGAAAACTGAAACTTTATTTATTGGATTTATATATAAATTTCAAATCCGGTACAAGCTTTAGACTAATTTATTTATATCTAGTTTCAAAAGGAAATACAGTAACTACTAGATATCAAACAAAACCCCGAGAGAGATAGAGAGGGGCATAATTGGACATAGCCAAGGAAACCCTAACTAAACCCTACAGATTGCCTTACAAACAAGTGGGTTCTTCATCTCCAAAGAGAGCTTCAAAGTCTCGCTCAAATCAACTTCACCACAAGGGACCCACTTGAAACATCTTAGCAATTGAGCTAGCCACAGCTCCACGGTGGCTAGACCCATCGACTTACCAGGACAGACCCTACGTCCAGCACCAAAAGGAGCAAGCCTCAAATCAGATCCCATAATAGGAAAGTTATCACTTTCTTGCGAACCAAGAAACCTCTCTGGTTTATACTCATGAGCCTCCGACCAGACCTTTTCATCATGCGTTATAGCCCACATGTTAACCATGGCAGTGGTCCCAGCAGGGATAAAGTGGGTCCCAATCTGAGTATCGTGAATGGAGAGACGAGCCCATGAGAGGAGAGGACCAGGTGGGTGCATCCTCAAGGTTTCCTTGACGATGGCTCGAAGGTATGGAAGTTTGGAGAGGTCTGAGTCTGAGATTTGACGTCCCGTTTCACCCACAATAGCATCGATCTCGGCCTGCGCCTTGGCTTGAATGTCAGGGTGAAGAATCATCCTCGCAAGAATCCATTCCAATAGAATCGCCACAGTATCTGTTCCCCTAAAAATCATTTCCTATAACCAAAAACCAATATTTAGATTATGTTACTTACTCCACAAACCCATAGATATACTCGTACTTACCCAAAGGACAGCGATCATATCAGAGTCGGAAAGTTTTCTGTTGCCTTGCATGCCAAGTAAGACATCCACAAAGTCATCATCATTACTGCTCTCTTCTTCTTGATTATCATGAATAGATCTCTTTGATTTGTGGTCGTCGATTATCTTTCCCACGAAGACATTCACCTTACGGACCAAGCTACGGCATCTTCTCCTCACGCCTTGTAAATCTAACCACCTCATTCCCGGGAAATGATCACTCCAGTTAAAGATCCCGAGAAGCTCATAGCCTTCGGACACCAAATACTCTAACTCAATGATCTCTTTCGAGTTAACAATACTACCATCGTTGAAGTCGTATGTTTTGCCGAAAACGCTAGACATCACGTTGTTGAGTGATCCGAAATGCAAGATTCTTTTGATATGCACCTCTCCACAACTCGTCATTGCTTTCTTGATCTCTCCTACCATATTTTGCCCGATTCTTCCACGAGACTCGCCGAAACCGGAGATCCTTTTAGGGCTAAAGAGATGAGTAGAAGATATTCTCCTCAGCTCTCTCCAGTAACTGCCAAAGGGAGCAAACCCCATGGCTCTATGAAAGAGCAGCTCATAAGCCGACTCTTTCACAGGTCGGTCTACGAAAGCAGAGCTGTTTAAGAGCTCTTTCGCGGTCCCCGGTTCGCTAGTAATCACAAACCGGGTTGATCCGACGGAGAACGCCATGAGAGCTTTTGCTTTGCAAGAGTTAGCAATATTGGCGAGGATTCTGTGTGTCAGGGCGTTGTTGAGAAAGGCCAAGAGGAGACCAATGATGGGGAGACCAGACGGGCCAGGAATGGCCGCTCGGGTTTTGGATTCTTGTCGGGTATAGAAACGAGCTTTGTAAAGTGCCCAGGCAAAGCCACCTGGTGTTAACCAGAAAGCGAAAAGGGAGATGAAGAGGAAAATGCTGAGACAAAGGTCGAGGCTGAGATATGGAGAAGATCCATATCGAGAAGCGAAGGAAAGATTCGTTCAATAGCCATTTTCTTGTCGAAGAAATTAGGGTTTTTTTAGCTAGTGAGCAAAAGAGAAGAATAATGATGAGGTTGGTGATGATAGGATAGTGAGACTGTTAGTTATATAGTGGATAACTACGGTTAGATGGGTTGATAAGTAACGTTTATTAATTAACTAGTTCAGTCAGTTACAGTTTAACCATGGTTAATACTCTTTCGAAAGATAAAAAGTTGCACCGCTTAATTTATTTGTTAAATAATCTGATTTTGTTGCATCGTTTTTTTTTTTTTTTTTTTAAAGATTAGAATGTTGCATGGTTTGTTTATACATGCTTTTGTTTACTTCACATACAAAGTGGCAACCACTGCACAGGGAGATGTTGAATTGATTTTGTTCGGACTGACAATTTCACTGTTAAGACAGCACATTTGCAGACACTGATACGTTCGCAGTCAAGTGGATCTAGCGATGTCGGATCAGATTTTCGTTTATATTATCTTCCGAGGATTAATTAAAGAATCTATATACCCATACGGACTACGGTATAATGTTGTGTGTGAATTAATAGATTTTTCTTTTTAATGTTTTTGGCGTATGGAAAGTCGGTTACCGGTGAAAGTTGAAAACAAGTCAAGGAGGAAAGTTTGTATAAACATTAATAGTAATATTTAATTTATAAGTGTAGTCGATACACAACACGGTCGGTTAGAGATTAGTATACGATACACAATATGGTCGGTTAATTAATGTGAACGAGTTATATAAAGCTGGCAACCTATTTGAGCCTACAAATTACTAGGTAGCTAGAAAAAAGGATAACTAATTAAACTAAGTATTATTGAGTACTAGCTAAATTAACCATATTTGGGTCATTGCGGTTGTATAGCAAAATCTCATTTTTTGTGAGCATCCGTCTAAAACAATATGACTTTCGCATTTATTGTGAACATCCGTCAAATAGCATTTAGTTTATTCGACAAGACGTTTTATTTACGATCACATTCTCCCATAAATCACATTTTCTCTACGTATTGTTGTCTCCGACTTCCGGCCATCTCATACACGGATAAACCTATGAGAAAATGGTAACTTAGCCTAACTCTATATCTTAGGTCGGTACATGCCACGTATATGTAGTGCTTTATTTAGTAAAAGTTATATATTCTTAAAATGAAATATTAGAGACGAATTTATAATTATTAAATTCAAAATATATAGTTAACTATGAATATATGGACGTGATTTCTGCCAATATATTCCATTGGAACTCCAGCCAAATTAATAATAATGAAATCGTTATTCAACAAGATGGATTTGCTTCCCCCTTCGACCCAACAAAAAAAGTCATTGTTTCCTCAATGTCTCTAAAAAAAGCACATGAATCGACATTGTCAGTCCTTCATGCAAACTTATATTCTAATATATTGCAAAAGGAAAATTGGAGATGGATCGGAGATCGATCTTTGGCCTAATTTTTATTTATGCTGGACTATTACAGATATCAACGTCAATTACCGACTATACATGTTATAGGTCATATATATATATTGTAGCATCAAATGGTTGATGAAAAGAATATTTACCAACTAATTATTGATGGAGATTGTTCGAAAACGGGATTCCATACAATGCAGTTTTAATCAACGAGTGGTTTGGATCAATAAAGATGAAAAAAACGACTAATCATAGTTATATTTATATAAGTTATATATTTTCTTACAAAATTTTCTGACAATATAAGTTATATATAATCAGTTCACATTGATGGGTAGAATGATACTTTTAAAGGCCACATATTTTCAATTTTTATAGAACACTATTGTTCAGTTTTGTAGGTTATTTTTTTGGATGACGAACAGTTGGTTGTAGTTTTATAATTTTGTTGTAAGTTGTCCCAATTAAGTTAAACTATCTCAAAGAATGCTTTACTATTTCAAGTTTTTCAATGGTGATTTTATTAAGTAATGGACCAAAAATTTCTCAAGGGTTAAGTCTTGAAACCAAATACTGGCCTGTAAATCAAGTATGTTTGGTTTAATTGAATCATTTTCAACCTGTTTGGTTGATAATTGATATACATACGATACCAATTACGTCACCAAACATAGGAATATGGTGGCCATGCATGATGCAGGGTGTGGACCAAACATAGCCTCGACCTCGTTTACCACAAGATTGTCTCCTTCAACATTGATACCACACACACACACACGCAGTGACACATGGCATATACCATGTAAAGTTGAAGCAACGGAATATGTATATGTGTGTATGTATGGGTCTTAGGTTGTCTGACTCGAGAGAGTTTTTTAAGTTATGATGATGCTTAAGAAGAAAGCAAATGTCACAAATCTTGTGGGTCTTACAAAGTAAATCCCATTTCTAACAGAAAACCGTTGTTAGACCAGGTCAAAGAAGTTATTTGACCAAGTCTAACACTTGATCGTGCATCTGTCTCTCAAATTTTTCGTTTTCTTTTGTTGATGCTTCTTATGATCTACATTACCTTTTTTTCACAAACATCGTAATATTAATATGTATTACTTATAGGTTTTCTTATGATCTACAATACTCATGTTTTTTTTTTACTATAAATCAAAAGATAGCAATGAATCAAATACACCTTTCAAAACTTTATTAAAAAAAGGGCCCTTAGGCAAAGTTTCTTTTATATACACAGGCACGACCCTATTTGTAAGAGGATGCATTGTCCTCTGAATTATATAGCCATGAACTCAAGAAGATTGAAATCAGATTCGATAGCTCATGAAAGTTTCCGCAGAACCCATATCGACTCTTTTTTTTTGGAATTGAATATAAAGTTATATTCAAACCTAAAAAAAAATATAATTTTACAATAATTGCGGACTTTGTGGTTGGAAAACACTATAAGAAAACGAAGATTACATAAAACTTAGCGACTCAAGTGGCTCTTGTGACGAACCACATGATTAGAGCATCGCCATATGCTCGGTCCTCTGTTTTGTGGATAGCACTGATTCGATTAAGGATGTTTTTGTCGATAAATATGTGGATCGCGAACCCATACCGACTCAGAGCAGCTCAGGGAGCGAGAATCTTGGCTGATCTGTTTCTATTTAGTATTTGTCTGAAGCAGTGCAAGAATGTCGAATCTACAAAGCAAGTGACTCCACAAATGACTTCATGTTCACCACATCTTGTTTCCTTGTTACATGATTAGGCGGCTTCAGAAGCTTCCAAAGCCCAGCAGGATGTCGTTTCTGAACTCGGGCATTCTCATTTCTCTTGACGAAGATTCTTTCGCACTCAGGGTATGGCTTCACGTATAGATTATAGAATCTTTTCATGCTTGGTTTGATCAAACCTTTCAATCCAATATCACAGCCAAGCCCGCCTTTCAGTTTCAAGTAATCAATGACATTGTAACGCGGGATAATCTGCTTCTGGAGATTCACACCTAGATACTCCGGCACATCAGCTAAGCAACTGATGTGAAATCCCATTCGGTTTATCAAAAACTCAATCTTCTTCTCTAACTCATCTACCTCATACAAGATCACCCTCGGCTCTTTCCACACTACCTTGAATGCGTCTCTATGTATCAACCCGTATTTGCATAAACAATCGACTCTGAGTTTCACTTCAAATCCAGCACGGAATGGTCCTTCGCTGAGGATCCTAACTCTGATCACTTCGCGGCATTTCAACGTGTTGATCAACTCCAAACACCGTGAAAGCTCCCCTAACTCTACACCAAGAACTCTTGGTTCTCTAGCAATCTCTTTCTTTACCTCATCCTTGCTAAAACCCATCTTCTTGAATTCATCGAGCAATGGCCTAAGTCTGGTCTCAGTACCAATCCCTAGAATCTCAGGGAAAATGTGAAAGAACCTCTCAATGTTATCTCGAGGAATGTCAATTCCAGACAAAAATTCAATCTTTTTGCGGATTTCAATCTCATTCACCATAAGAACGCCAGGGAAAGCATCTAAGATCCTACTAACAGTACTATCACAAAACCCTAAACCCCTCAAAACCCTCGTGCATTCATTAAACCTATCTGGGCCAATCCCAGTTCTGCCACAATGTTCGAGGACGCTCGTAATCGCAGAAGAAGAGACGACGCCGTATTTTCCGCACTCGGAGAGAGGAACTCTCCATTTCCTCAGGAACTCCGATCGCAGAACACCAGGGCAATCGCGTATCAGCGAGACGAGTGATTTCTGAGGGATTTTCAACGACAACAAGATACCGAGAGAGCTTTCGGTTTCGGCTAAATCGGAATTCAAGAGGAAACTGTTCCTTGAGAGGAAGTGATTGAGAGAAGAGGGAGGGAATCCATACCTCTGAAGAAGATTCGCGAGCAAAATTCGCTTCCTATAGTGAGATTGGTTGACAGGTGCGAGAATCAGTGAAGATAGTGATCGATTCTGGTAGAATAGATAGCCACTGAGATTGATGAATTCGACTTTAAGTTTTGAGGCCATTCTCATTTTTAGCTTCGGCTTTCAAGGCAGTCACTCATGTAAAAGGGAGAAGAAGAGGAGTGATTAATCTCGTCTGTAATTATACCTTTACCCTTGAAGTTTCTCTTTCATTTTAATAAAGGCCACTCACTATTTTATTTTACAAGATTTTTGCCCTTTTCTTCGTTGCGAGCACTTTTTAGAAACGTCCTCCAAAAGACTACTGTATATGGAGTTTTCTCAACATTTGTAATATGCAGTAATTTTTTTTTTTTCCTGATGGTTTGACAAGTTTTGAGGCCGTTCTCATTTAGCTTTGGCTCTGAAGTCTGAACTCTGAATGCAGACACTTTTGTACAAAGGCGGAAGAAAACGATCGATGGATCGATTTGGTCTAAAAATTAAGATTATCATAATTACACTTTTACCCTTAGAGTTTCATTTTAGTTTAAGAAGAACCTCTCACTTTTTTTTTTCTTTCTTTTTTAACTATCAATCTCTCTTGCCTTGTTTTATAAAAAAAAAATTCATTTTAGTAACCCTGCTAATCTGTTCAATCTATTGTTTTTCAAACATCTTGCAATAACTTTTAATTTTCATTGTTTCTGTATTATTTTCTTTTTTATAAATATTTTTGTTAGTTTGATAACTTGTTATTTTTTTGTTCTTTGTTGAATTTTTTTGTGTGTTATGATATTCTAGTTTTAATTTTTAATTTTTCGTTTGAAACTTTCTTAACCTATAGTTTTTTTTATTTGTAAATTAACTGTGTATTATTCTCACTAACTAATGTAGGACAAAGGGTGGTTTATATTAGGCCTAGTTTATATACAATGTAGAAGTATGTAACTATCTTGCTAACAGAATAATCTTCTTGTCCATTCTAATCTAAGCAAACTACCACTTATCATAAACTACACATATCAGAAATGACGTGACGAGCAGACGATGGGAAGCCTTAAAAAAAAAAAAAAAAAGAGAGATTTGGCCTAACAGAGACAAACTAATATATTAGCGTAATCTTAATACAATAAAGAAAAATGGAGTAAAAAAAGTTTGAGTTCATGTCAGGATTAGGCAATGAAAGCTTGAAAGAAAGTTTCACACAATTAACATTCTAGCTGTTTTCATGAACTGTGTGTGCTTGTAAGTTTTCAAGATAAATAGGCATGTGGGAGGATACGTGATCAGAACACACAAGGCAAAGTCCAAGTTGTTATTATTTGTTAATTATGTGATTTTTGGAGGTGGGCAGTTCATTGTATTAAGAATCTTTTGTTTACCTTACAAATGAAAGTTGTTATTACTTTCTAGTTGTTACTAGTATGTGACATGACTTTTTGGCACTAGGAAAAAAAACCTTGACTTTGTAAACACACACACATATTTCATGACCCCAAATATAATATTCGGAAGCTCATACTTCTTCATTTTTGCGCCATTTGGAAAAATTTGAAATTCATTTCGAAAAAATAGGACGAGAAAAAATGCGTGCGATTTTCTCTTCTCGCAGAATTGGCTCGTCCTCGCAGCTAACCAAATCGCTGAAGAAGCCTACCTTTTCTTCTCACCCGAGCCAGAGCCGCCATTTCCTAAGCCATCTTCTTCCTTGTGGCCTCTCTTCTTCCTCTTCTTCGTTAACGCGCTTTGTCCCCTCTCTTCTATCGCGACCGGAGAAAATTCATGGGTTTTTCGCGAGCACGTTGAGAAACACCCACCTGAACCTGAAATCCGGAAATCTCTTGGAATCTAGAGTTGGGTTCTTCGGTTCTCAGCTTCCTAGTAAGGGATTCGAGGTCGAGCCCTGGGTTTTTACTGGGTTTCAAAAGCGTGGATGGTATTTTGCTTCTTTTCCTCTCCTCTTTGTTTTTTTTTTTTTTGTAATTTTCTTATCAGTTGCTAATTGAGATGTATCTTTGAGATAGAATCTGAGAATGGAAAGAGATTAGTTCCCTATTTACTCTAGATTTCTTATGCAGTATCGAGATTTCTGAGTTTCCCCCTTTCTCTATGACCTTCAGGGTTAATCTACATTTTCCTGAGAGAGAAACTTGTTTTTGAGTATGGAGAAATTGGTGTTAAAATTTCTAGTTTGATTTGGGGTTTCGACAGAATTAATCTACCTGTTTCAATCCTTTCATTAGCTTTCCTAGTCAATTGTGCTTTGGATATGTGAGGACTCAGAAAAGGAGTAAAGGAAAGTCGATGAGGCTTCACTTGCTTTAATATTTTTTCTTTCACACTTCTGTGTATTTCTTGATTTGAGCAGCTCAAAGCTCTTTTAATGCTTTTCTTTTTATAGAGAATAGGCTTAGCACACTGACACTGTTTAGACCTTCCGTTTAAAAGTAGAGTCTCTCCGGATAAAGAAATAATATTAGAAATCTTATGTTCAAGAAGCAGGCAGCATCTTAGAGTAACACTAGAGCTTCGTGCCTTTTCCCTTGTGTTCCATGGATTCACTTCTTTTTTTTGTTTACCTGTGTGTTCCTCTCCCAGGAAGTCTTGGGTTAATGGAGCTCATGGTGTAGTTTTCGGGTTGATAATAGCTAATGCTGCTGTATTTACAATGTGGAAGGTTAAAGACAAACGATGGATGGCAACAAATTTTGTGGTCAGACCTCAATGTTCAAAAATCTTAGTTTCTATTAAACTCTTGTCTTGGATTTGGTTTATCTTTGGTACTTAACCATTGATATTTGGGCAGCTATCAGTGTACAGTTTTACGACTGGTCGTATACACACGCTGATAACTTCAGGTTTCAGTCATATAGTAACCAGCCAAATCATATTCAACATGATGATGCTCTGCTACTTTGGAACCAGAGTATGACTCACTCTTTTCTTATCGTTTATATCTTCCCGAGTGAAACATTTATTCCATTTTCGTAAATTAGATGAGAAGTGAATTTGTTTGTTTCCTAAGAACTATCTATCTACAAGACTACAACTGATTGGTGAATTCAGGATTTTGTTTATTTAGTTTATTCATGTGACTGTAAAAGCTAAGTTTAGAAAGAAACATCTGTAGATAGATCATAGATAAATGACTTGGTTCGTTTCTCGAAATTGTTTTCCTATCATTGATCTTTCGCTTGGACTATTTATATCTTTACTTCTAAAGCCGTTGTTGTTAGATCGCAAGAACCTTGGGACCGCTTTACCTTTTGAAGCTGTACTTTGCTGGAGCTCTTGGTAGCTCTGTTTTCTTCTTAAGTGGTCATGCTCTGATGGCTATACTTAAGGTATAGAGCAACTGGAATAATAGTTCCGTTAATCTCAAATTAGCTTTTCTCATTGATCGGTTTTTTCAAAAGTTATTTACCTTTTTTATATTGGATGTTCAATCATACAGAGCGAAGGAGTTGTCAGCAAGGAACCAACGAGACCCAATGCACTCGCAGTATGATTTTTATTCATTCATTCAAGTGAATTTGTCAGAGCATCTATGGGAGATAGAGGTTCTTGTTTCGAATCATCAAATGCTGATGAGGTAAAACTCTTTCCAATTTTGTCTACAGGGTGCAGATGGAGCCGTATTTGCCATTACACTACTCGATATCCTCCTCTACCCAAAAGTTACTACATACTTTGCTTTGATGTTCCGAGTTCCCGCATTGCTTGTAAGGACTCTTTACAATACTCATCATCATGAGTGAAACACTTTCTCTAATTACTCTCGGTCTCTCGCTCTTTATCAATCAGGGAATTGTAACCTTGGGACACGAGTTGTTAAAGGTGCTAGAGGTGTGTTTTCTGAGAATCTAATCCACATTTGCTTGGAAACAATATCACCATCTCTTAAACTGGGGCCAACTTTATGGAAATTGCAGGGAAAGAAGAAGAGTATCACCTTCGGTTCGATTCACACGGGAGGAGGAGCTATAGTTGCAGCCATTGCGTGGAGGCGGATCAAGAAAGGTCGATTCTACTATTGATTGATCTCATTTTTTTTGGTCCATTGATTCTTGGATTTGCTTAAAAAAAAAAGACTCAATTGACCTGATCATAATAGAGGTTATGTTAAACTTTGTGACAATAAGAATAGTTTTAACCATGGTTCAAAGTAATCGAGTTTTTGGATTGTTGTAAATTGAACCAAGAGATCAATTGATGGTTTGAAAACTTTGGTTATTTTCTCTCTTTGTCGTCGAAACTGGAGCTTTTACTTGAATAGTGTAGATTATCTAATCTTAGATAGATTAACGTCTCAACATTTATTCGAAGTCCCATCACGAAGATTATTTTTTCCTTTGACGTCAGTCAAGAAGATCTTTTGGAACAAAAAACGAATTGTGGTTCCACTAACCTGACATGATGATAAGACCTTAAATTAAAAAAAAATAATAATTAAAACTCTCTCAAAGTCACATTTCTGTTGGTTAAATTTGATTCCCATTTCTGTATACGTTTGGTTCAATCCTTTGAATGTTGGACCCCATTTTGAATTTCAGGTTAAACATGATTAAACGGAAATCGTCGGGATTAGCAATTTTATAAAATATGACAAGTTTAAAATTTCGAGTTGTTTATAAAATGTCATTCGTAAGTATTCATATTTTATCGATCAAAGAAAAGTAACCTCGATGTGAATCGAGTTTGTGAAGTGAACGTATTCAATAAAAATTAGTATAAAAATTTGAAAAAGTCAAGAAAATAATTATGTACAATTAATTATGGTAAACGTCATCAGAGTGTCACTTATTACTCATTGGACAGAGCTGATGCGAAAAGAAAATTACTCACTGGATTGTATCAGAAAAAAAAGTTATTAGGCTCCGTTTGTCACGAATCAGTACAATTATTCATTTATTTCGTTTGCACCTTAATTTAATTTCGGTAAATATTTAGGTTATTTTCTTGCGGTTGCCATTGTTAAAATCACCTAAAACAAAGAAGCACCTTTATCCTCTGTATCGCCTTAAGAGTTAAAGACTGATTTGTATTTTGGATTTCCCATCTTCACTTTTTTAATCTCCTTACCAAAGCGTTTTCCCGCACTTTCCCGCACTTTCCCGATCCAAAGGAAGCATTTTTCTTTCCCAGGAAAATGAGATGGGAGAGGGTCCGACATCAAAACCAACAAGTTGGTCTCGGTGATTCTTCTTCTTCCGGGCCCGGGAAGAGATGGGGACACACTTGTAACGCCATTAAAGGAGGCAGATTTCTCTACGTTTTCGGTGGATTTGGTACAGACGATTGCTTAACCAATCAAGTTCATGTCTTCGACGCTGGTGAGTTCTTCGGATTTCATCATCTTGGTGGAAATTGTTGCCTTTTTTCTTCTTCTAAGGGTTGTTCGTCTGCGTCGATTCTCGTAGTGGGTTTTGCAAAATGTCTCAATCTTTGTTCGATCTGTGTTGCGATTTGGTCATTTCTTTTCTTTTTGTTCGTTCGTGTGGTAGACCCCATTCCCCCAGCCATTTACTACGCATCATTCTCAAAAACTTATCCAATTTTGTAGCCTATCTTGATCTTTGTCCTTTTTGGAGTACATATT